GTTGTAAAGCTAGTTGGGAGCTAGTTAACGCTGAATGTGACTACACCAAAGATGGTCTTATTGATCTCATATCTTTGGAGTAGTGATGTGCGGATCGATCCTAAAGTATCAATATTTCTGATACCAACGTTTCCTGCTCTAGGATCGATATTCATATAAAAGGATCGATATCTAAACACAGTCATTTGGAGTGAGTGTGTGTTTTATTTATAAGTATCTTACTGTCACCAGGATGGTCTAATTATACTCGGTTGATAGGAACTACTTTTCCTTCCGCATGTCAAAGTCATGCTTGTGCTACGGCTCTGTGACGGAGCTTCTTTGAAGTGAGCCGCTGCAGACCTTTACATTTCCTGTGATTGAATACTGACTCTGGCTGACTGTAAAAACAGTCACGTCTGGCTGTATTTTAGCTGTGAAGGTAATAATGTTGCTCTGTGTGATGTGTGTGCTTTGGCAACACCGCAAACTTTGCTAAACATCTGAGATTAAGTCTGTCACAATAATATGACAGTAGTTTGATGTCTTGTCATTATGCAGCTATTATTTTGAATTGGTACTCCTTATTTCTATTATAAATACAGAAACGGGAGGGGGGAGGTCACATTAAACTAGAAATAAAATATGTAAAAAGTATTGGTATTGGTATCGGCAATACCAGTGTGGTGTCTGAACAATAATGCTGCGATGATGTGTTGAGAAGAAAGCCTGGGTATTACTTGGTATTGGATCGTATAGGAATTAAGTGGTATCGCACATCACTACTGTGGAGGAGGTGGTGATATCAGGTCACATGACCTCCTCATGAATGTCTCAAAAGACAAAACAAGAAATGGAACAAAAGAAAAAAGTTCAATAAAGTTTGTCACATTAGCCCAGATATACAGTAACTTAAACATCATTAAACAAACTGTGAGACAGTTTGTTTAATCTGCGGCACAGAAGCTCATCTTTCCTGCAGCAAGTGAACTCAACTTTTACCCTAATTTAACATAGATGTTAATCTGCTGATTCGGGTTTATCCTAAAGCTTTCATTCAGCAGATGTGTGTGTGTGTGTGTGTGTGTGTGTGTGTGTGTGTGTGTGTGTGTGTGTGTGTGTGTGTGTGTGTGTGTGTGAACTTTGAAGCCATTGGATTTACAGCATGAGCAGCTCCACTCACCTGACAGCAGGTGCAAATGTCAAAGTTCACACTGACAGTATGAAAACACACACACTTTTCTTTTATGGTAACACTCGACCCTGACACAAGACGCTATCAGATCATTCACATTGTATGTTGGATCAGAAGCATTTATTCCAGCACGTCCTTGGATCTATCACTCTGTCTGAGACTTCAAGTGGAAGGTCAGAAGAATAGTGTGTTTATGCGCAGTGCATCTGTAAGTACCCTTCAGTAGCTTCCCTTCCTTTTTTTGTCTCTTTGTGTGTGTACAGAGCCATAGTTTAGAGATCTGTAAGTGTTTTTCTGGATTTATTACTTATAGGTAATTTAAATCCTGTGTGACTGTGCAGCTCTGTCTCCTGTTAATGTGTAAGCAAATGTAACAGGGCAGGAAGACACATACATAAACAGCATATACATACTTATACTTGAAGTTATGACAAAGTGGTGGTTTATTAGAATAACAGGATGAAGTATTAGAGTGTGAAAGTAAATGTAAATGCTCCGTATTTGTATAGCGCCTTTCTAGTCTTTTCAACCACTCAAAGCACTTTTACACTACATCCACTTTCACCATTCACTCACATTCATTCACCGAGCCTGAGTGCTCAAACAGAAACTAACATTCACACACATTCATACACTGGCAGAACAGCCACCAGAGGCAATTCAGGATTAAATTACTTATATAATAATGGATGCTGTAATTATTATATTTTTTTATCATGTTGCTGTGTGTTGAATTTGACAACTCTTATATCCAATATCTTATATAATAAATCTAACAAAGCACATTAATGAATCAGCAATCGTGAAGATTTTGAAACCAGGAAGAATCAATCAATCAATCAATCAATTAATTAATTAATAGATAAGGATCAGTTCTTTTTGGTTTCATGGGATTCGTTTACAAGAAGAATATAGATTACCACCAGATTTGTAAAGAGATGATTGATGATTGATCAGCGTTTAGAGTCTGAGTTTTGGTGTTGCTCCAAAAAATCAAAGATCAACAAAGTTATGGGCCTTATAATAACACACACACACACACACACACACACACACACACACACACACACACACACACACACTAACCCTAGCCCATAACCCTAACCTAAACCTTATTATAACCATAACCTTTGAACCAAGTCTTAATCTTCAAACAGTAAAATAATGAAGCACAATGCAGAAATGTCCTCACTATGATAGCAGTATAAACCCCATAGTAACACACACACAGTGACGGATAAAGTACTCAGATCCTTTATTTGTGGAAAAGCAGATTACCAGAGAGAGAAAATACTCCATTACAAGTAAAGTCCTCCAAATAATGTTTTACTTAAGTAAACGTACATAATAATTGTGTAATTTAAATTTAAAAATTGCAGTACAGAATTCTCTTGGTGTATACGTGTATGTATATATGTATATAAATAACTGTATATATTGTTTTTTTTTATTATGCTACCGTATTTTCATATACACTTAATTATATGTTGTGTGTGTAGCATGAAGGAACTACAAATTTTGTTTTGTTATGCAGCCCTGTGCTGTATAATAAATAAATAAATATAATAATACTTATATATTAATACTTACCTATAATAATAATACCTTGTACCTTGTGTTAAAAGTAAGAAGTACTCATTATGCAGAGCTCACCTTTACAGAGTGACATGTAAGCATGTTTGCTGATCAAGCTGATTTTTACTATTTTATGTGATTGTGTTTTTATTAATTAGTTAAGTCCTAAAAGTATTTTACACAAAATAAGTGAAAACATCTAAAAGTGTAGTTTCTGACAGAAAACAAATTGTTTGAAGAACTCTTTAGAAATCTTTTAATTTAAGAAACTTAAAAATAAGAAAAAGGGATTCAAGAAAAATGTCACCGTTAAACTATTTGTTCTGTTAAAATGGTTGGAAATTATCTCACCGCAATAGCAGATTCTTTCACTTGTTATTAAAAAGACCTTAATAATCAGGGTAGTTTTTTAAATCATTATACAACATAAAGTTGTGCAAGACCAAGTTGTATAATAGATACAAATCAAGATTTTTGAGATATTTGAACTATAAAAAATGTTCATCTACTCAGTAACACAATCATTCAAAGTAATGTTTCTGTCTCACATGTAGTGGGCTAGAAGTGTAAAGTAGAACAAAATAAAAATACTCAAGCCAAGTACAAGTACCTTTAATTTATACTTAAGTATAGCACTTTATGACAGCTGGGGAATGTTTGCAACAGTGTTGTGTTGAAGGTGTCACTGCTCCTGTCAGCATAAAGACAACTGCTGACTCATCCATGTCATAGTTATCCAAAGAGGGTTAAAATCAAGGGCAACAAGAAACTTCTTCAGTTCTGACAGACTGGAGGGCAATTTAACCTCTGTGGGGTCGTTGTCAAAGATGATCAATACCGCTGGTTCATTAGTGCTCATCAACATCCAGGACTTTCCTTTCCTGTCAGTCAGAACTGACTGGACGAGGAATGTTCGAGTTTCTTCAACCAAGTCCAGTTGCCCTTGATTTTAACCTTCCTTGGACATCAGGATGTTGTTTGTTCATATTGTGGATTTAATTGCCAGTGACGCAGCAATACTTACATTTGCTAACATGAAACAACAGAAGCTACTGGTCAAACTAGACTGAGTACGACTGCAGCAGTAAATGGATTTAAGAATTCAACTTTAGTTTTCTGAGAGAAAGACTGTGTTATTTCTTCTTTCAAGACAAGTTACATAGTTTGACTCAGTGCTGGGATGTAACTGCATACATTTATTAAGTACTTTACCAGAGTAATTTCATTTTATCAGAGAGAAATACTGTAATTTTGTAAACTGGTTTGGTAGCGTTGTCTGGTCCTTCGGCCTGTACAGTGACAGTTCACACACAACTTCAGTCTATTGTTGCACGTTACTTTCTCGCTTTGTAACACACTTCCCTGTCCCCCGAAAACAATGACAGATAGGAACTAAAATTAGTCTGCTCTGAGCAAAAGGGGAAATAAAATAGCAACTTTAATGTTACATATAAACATTAATTCATAATATAACATTTAAGTGCCACAAATGATAATGAAATAGTTACTGTATGTAACAATAAACTTAATTCTGCAAGTCCAGTTAATATAGTGGAATTACTACTGAAACATATGTCTTACCACAGAATACTTTACAGTTTTATAAGAAACATAAATTAGTATAATAAATTTTCGTTATCCCAAAATATAGTGATACTTATTTCTTCAGATTTAGATTATTAATACAAAATATATTTAACAAATAAATCCTGATGTATTAGTGGGATTAAGCTAGCCAGCAGTACATAAAGTATTTAAAATTAACTCCACCTTTACCAGCTGCAACATTAAAGTCATGAACATATTAACACGTCAAAAATGGGCCATTTTTGCATAATGAGTACTTTTACTTTTGGTACTTTAAGTATATTTTCATGCCAATACTTATGTACTTTTAAGTGACATTTTAAATGCAGGACTTTTACTTGTAACACAGTATTTATACACTGGAGTATTACTACTTTTACTTAAGTAAAAGATCTGAATGCTTCATCCACGTCTGTGATTGCTAATCACTCTGATTAGTTAATGAGATGCACGTTTATGTTTGTGTATAATCTGAGAATTCACATCTTTGCATGATAATACTTGTACATATTGGGTTTATCTTTATATTTCCTGCATTGTAATGTTTGGTGTCATACACAACTCTACATGCTGTATGCTGTATGTTCTTACTGGAAAGAATAAAGCTCAGGTGAATAATTTTGATGCATCTTTGAAACTTTTCTCTGTGTGCTTTTAGCCCATCAGGATGGAGGGCGAGGAGGACGGGGAGGGGCGAGTCAGGGAGCTGCAGGAGCAGAGGATGACAGTCCAGAAGAAAACCTTCACCAAGTGGATGAACAGCGTCTTCTCCAAGAACGGGGTGAGAAAGGAAGAGATGTAGAACAAAATATTTGGTTCATATGACCTGAAAATAGTTTATATTAAAACAAAAAAACTTATCTGTAGTTGTTAAATAAAACCAAAACTATCATGAACAGTAACAACCAGAGGGAAGTGAGGAAATGTGTTCATTTTCCAGTAGTGGAAGAGGAAGGTACATTACATTCATTTAGCTGACACACTGGCGTCTCACAGTGGATTCAAACCCGATGGCGCAGTGGATAAGACACATACCGGTGGAGTGAGGGAACTGCATGGGTTCAACTCCCCACTGTTACACACCCCCAATGTGTCCCTGAGCAAGATGCTTAACCCATACTTGCTCCAGAGGTGTGCAACCTCTGACATAAACAGCAATTGTAAGTTGCTTTTTGATAAAAGCATCAGCTAAATGAATACATGTAAACACAGGTCTCAATTAGATGTCTGGTTATTTTTTTATAGAAGTTCTTTGGATGTATAAACCTCTTGAAGCCCACCGGGGCACCTGCTTGAACTAGGTTCTAAGCTGCTTAGATCGCACATACAGATGGAAATGTTTAAACTTTTGTCAGTATAGACTTTGTTTTATGAAAACAATGAAACCCAAAGTCTAATTTATTCAGATTTACCAGCATGATGAAGGAATTAAAGGCCTGTCCCAAATACAGGCAGAGTGAGTTCAGGGATTTAAACAAATAAAAGCCTGGGCTACTAACTAAAGTTTTACAGTACCCACATAAATACAAATACAAAAATAAAATAAATTCAATGAGTAAATAGATTTAGTATACTTTCCTCCACTGTCTGTTTCCAACTCATACCATCAGCTTTAGAACTAGACTTTCATTGGTTTCAGTTACATTAAACAACTAAAGTTTGTCTAAAAATACTTTCAACACTGGGCTTTCAAAGTAAAGCGTCTTCTTCAGGTCCTGTACAGTATGTGTTTCCATGCTGGCTCTCTGTCTGTGTGTTTGTTGTTGAATCAGTCTGAAGACAAATGCAGCTTCATTAGTGTTGTTTTTACTATAAGCACCATTAATCCAGGGAACATCAACTCAGCACATTAATGTTCCTCTGAGTCCTGAATCAGGGTCAGTTACAAGAATCTGTAGTATTTACTTTCTTCCTTTTCAATTTCGGCCAATTTGGAGCAATTTTACTTGTAGTGGAATAGTTTCATAAATGTACTTTTCTTAAACATTTTCTTAAATGAAGGATCTGAACACATCTTCCACCACTGGCTGTGAATCTTTCTCTGTGTCTGCTTTGTATTGCTCAACTCTCTGGATCTAACAAATGAAAACATTTTATGGCTGCAGTGATGATGTCAGTGTTATTCCTCCTTGTCTGTTATCATTCTGAGCCACGTTCCTGTCCGATAACAGGCTATTAACTGCAGTCCGTCCGCTGGTTGCACATATACAAACACACATTAATCATAAGTCGTGATAACTGACACAGTTTCACCCTCTGCAGTGTTGTTGCTCTGTCTCTTGTCCTGTTGGCAGGTTTAACAGATTCTAGTCGGTTCATGTATAGTTATGGGTTTGTTATTGCGTTTTCTCTGATAAGTAGATGCCAGCTGTTGGTTGAACAGTGAGGCCTGCATCTACTCTTCATTCCCAGAATTCTTCTGGGATTTCTGCAGGATGGCAGCAGGGAAGGGAAAATGCAGAGCTCTCACTCTGTCCTGTTTCCATCCTCACATTAACTTTTAATTTAAGGTTGCCTTTCCTTAAATTTTAGCTTTCTCTTTTTTGCATGTAATAGGTTTGCCAGATATTTATTTGCTTTGTTACTATAGGCCTACTGAAGGTTTTCATATTTGAGTTGTTGGATTAGTGTTTTTTGTATGATACTAGTTGGGTTTTGAGTTGGCTCAAATTTTGTATTTGTACGCTGTGGGTATTGGTACACTGCTTTGTTAGCAGTTTAATTTATAGCTTTAAATTCTTGCTGTCCACACATGAACTTTTAATTTAAGGTTGGCTTTCCTTAATTTGAAGATGTGTCAATGGAATGACAAAAAAAAAAGAGAAATTTAAAATGACTGAAGAAATGATGATGATGAATTATTTTATTATTACTGAATAATAATAATTATTATTATTACTCTGTATTAATTATTTTGTATTAATTTTTACCATACTTAACAATTTCTAATGAATAAGGGACAGCAGCAAAGGTCGCTGCCTGTTTAAGACCTGGTGGCCTGACTGTTAAAGAAACACTTATATTATTCAGGAAACTCAGATCAACAGTTTCAAGGACAACGACAGTTTCACGGGATCGCACCAGTTACACAGAAGCCATTGCCGTGGTTACCTTGTGGAGCGCTTGTTTGCCTGTCTGTTGATGAGAAGCGCAGAGCGACCCCGCGGATCCAAGCCATCTGAAAACATCTTATAAACCCCGTCACAACTATTCACAAGAAATTAATTTATAACTTGCCAAAACCTTTAACATAAGGTCGACTTAAAAAGCAACCTTTCATACAGCAAAGTGTATATTTAGGCTATATGAGTGATCAATCGACAACAAAGTCAAAGTAAACATCAGAAATAGCCTCTAACATAATATTATTTATTAATTGAAAGAAATAATTTGGGGTTAAATAAATTGTCTATTTGTCATTATTTCTTCACTGATTTTTTTTTATAATGCATTCATTTAAAAACAATTATAAATTAATATAAATAAACACAGTCAATAATTGTTTTCACTATTAATTTCATAGTGGAAACGGGGACCAAGAAAAACAGTCAAAAAGCACGTGTCCACATACTTTTTGCCAATATATTGATTAATTATAGTTATTGTAATATATATTGTGTCCACCGGGGGAAGCACCGAGCTCACTGCTGCTGAGCAGCACTCCAAGCAACCAGGCGGCGAGGAAGAGTTCCCGCCCTCTGTGTGGAGGTTTGTATGGAGTTTAATTAAAGTCAGTCGGATTAAATCGTAGTTTCTGTCACTAAACACTCCGCTGACACCGCCTGTGAAGTCGCTAAAAAGATTGTTTTTTCTCCAGTGAGTCTGAGTTTCTCTCGCTTTCCCCGTAATGAGCTTAAGATGCGTGAATGTCTGAAACTTTGGGTTTAATCGATAGCGCAGTAACGTTACGACATTCTCAGTGTCCCCAACTCAAACCGGAACGTTAGATGTTTATCGAAACGTGATTATTTAGATGTTATCCGCCATCAGATTGTATATTTAAATCATGTTTGTGGTTTTCTCTGGTGATCTCAAGTCTGTCCAGAGTGATAAATGTTTGCCCAGGGCGAAATTAGGCTTTGTGTGCAATATTTTCTCTAGCTAGCATCAGTGCAATTAGCTTCAGTAGCTAACAGCCGCTGTAAGCTAGCATTAACTGACTGAACTTACCGTTAGTTTACAGCGAAATTATTTCTTATTAGTTCAATTTGCAAGCTGAGATGGTTTACATATGAAAGTTAAATAAAAAAGAAGTCAATATACTACAGTAACATACTGTAAGTTACTAACGTTAAAGTAAAATATGAGCTACTTCACTCAGGTATTTCCATAATGTAACGTTAAACTATTTGAGATTTAACGTTAACTTTAAATTTTATATGTACAATATGTGATGTGTTGTCATAGATTTAACTAACAATATATAAAATACTGTACAGCTCCATAATAATCCAATTATATAGGCCTAATATGTTCAATCTAAGCGATTGATTGAGTATCATACAGGTAGCCTAATTTTTAAAAGCTAAAACGCTTCCCAGTAGATAAAATTCTGGTTATCTCAGTATTGTTAGACAGGAAACACAACACTTTTTCTTTTTGCACTTTTGTCATATGAGCAATTAGAAGATTTTACCTTTGGCTCTGGAAAATTGTGATAGACATTTATCTCCATTTTCTGATATTTAATAAACCAAATTACTAATAAAGAAGAAATTGACAGACTGACGCACTTATATTCTGATGGGGTTAATGGTGCTTTTCAGTGGTGTCCTATTTTGTGTTGGATGTGATGAACTCTGTGTAACATGGGGATTTCATGGCAACAGGAAATTAAACCAAGGTGATTCTATAAAAGGCTCAGATAGCCCTGTTTCCACATATACTGCATAATCTCAAGAAAACAGAATCCCTAGAATAGTAGCAGCTCTGTGTTACACCCAAACACATCACTCAACATCAGCTTTCTACAACTCATTGTCTCAAGGCAGAAATCCAAAATCTCCCACCATTATATCCAATCCATTATAGATGTCCTGCTGACAATAAAAACTGACAGGATGGAAACAACATGATGGAGATAAAAACTCTAACAAGAATGATGCTAGCTGCAAATTCACATGTACTACTTCTGTTTTCTTTATTTGGATATACCAAAGCAACATATAAATAATGTAGTAAACCCTGACTGTCCATGCCTTTTGTTAAAATGTTGCAACACAGAAAATAATAAAATGAGTAATAATAATACTATAAAAGCAAAACTAAAACCCCCTGAAAAAAATAAAATCAATTCACACTTCTCCTGTTCCATCCTAAATACATCCTTAATATGTCAATTCAGTCATCAATTGAAGAACATATATGCTTTTTTTTATGTTGTTTTTAACCTGAAATCAGGTTTTATGTTTTTAAAGACATAATGGAATAACTTTCAGCTCAGGTACATTTCTGTTTAGTTTGAATACAGCGCTTCCATCAGACCAGTTTTTTTTGTTAAAAGTGTTCAGCAAAAATTTCTCACTAGTGCAGCAACTTACTTTTATTAACAATCAATGTTTCGGTATAATTTTTTATACAATAAAGTGTACAGTCTATAAATGTAAGAAAATAATGAAAAGCTGATTTCTTCAGATGTCCTCTTTTGGGAAACCCCAATATATTCTGTTTAAAATTATACAAAACAGGGAATAGCATCAAAATCTCTGCGGAGTCTTGAATTAGAAGACCGGTATCAGGAGGACTGTAGTCTCTGTAGTCACGGAAGTTAAACCTCTCGTGTGGAAAGAGTTGTTGGACTTTCAGTCTCAGAGAGGTTCTGACAAACGAGCTGTACCTCCATTGGAATCTAGTCTTGAAACAAACACTTCGATGTATAAATTAGGACAGACACTCCTGTTATTTGTATGAATTTCTCCACTTAACGTGCTGCTTTTTGCTTTAAGATGTTACCTGACCTGTTGATAACCAGGATGTCCTGAACAAGGCGGGACAGGGACGTTATGTAACACACTTCGGGGGGAAGAAGCTCTCGACTCTCAGGATGATTTAAGGGAAATTTGCCTTTTCACATTGAACTTCCTGCATGTCACAGAGCCGTAAACATGTTTTCTTAAACAGAGGAGGGGGTCTACGCCACCACTTATCCCCCACTTACAATGCTGTACTTTCATCACTTCCCAGGAAACTCAACAAACGTAACCTATTGGCCTCAGGTGAAGACAACGATGGTGGTTCAGTCTTGGCCACTGGTAGTCATTACGACTGTCGTTACAGCAACCAGGAACACTAACGAACCAGCGGTATCGATGACCCTGGCAAACGACCCCACTGAGGTTAAATAGCTGAGTTTCACTGCCAGTCAGTCAGAAGTGAAGAAGTCCTTTGGATGAGGGACGAAACGTCTTCCAGTATCTTCAACCAAGTCCAGTTGCCCTTGATTTTAACCTTCGTTGGATGTTTTCTTAAACACTGTGTAGCTTCTCTGTATACTTACTACTCAGACTGTACAATATGCAACAGTGGAAGAAGTATTCAAATAACTGACTTAAGTACTAATATATTAATTATATTATTAATTCATTACTACTTAAAAGGTAGTCAGGCACCCATTTGAACATACAGATGCCTTTGGAATAATAATGTAAATGATGTGGAAAATCCACAGTCCTCCTCCCGTGGAAATTACAATAAAGTTGTCTGTCTTCACCTCCTGCAGGAGAGCCTGGAGCTGACTGACGTCTACACAGAGCTGAAGACCGGAATCACTCTGATTCGTCTGCTGGAGCTCATCTCCAGGGAGAAGCTGCCTCCGCCCAGCCGCCGCAAACTGAGAGTCCACTGTCTGGAGAACAATAGCATCGCCATCAGCTTCCTTAAAACAAAAGTAACTTACCTGTCCGCATCATTCAGAGACCTATAAACCAGGGTAAAGTCCATCCCTGTACACCTCTTGTCCTTTTCTCCTTGCCTTTGATTTGCCGCCTCATGCAGACAATGGGGTGAGATCTAAACCTGACGGGCACAGTATCAGGTTTAAGCCCATTGGTTATGGTTTCTACTCTATTCAACACGCTCAATAAACCCCTGCCCAAGAAGGAAAAAGCTGTGTCCCAAAACTGTATGGTACACTAATGTGCACAATAAACAGTTTTACAGTCACTATACAAGAAAACAACATGCTTTATTGTTTCTGTCATTCTAACAGAAACTGATTCAATAAGAGTGGCAGCAGGTGTCACCCAAAGATCAGGACTTTTTTGGGTCCGTCATGATTTACATCTGTAGGCCTCTTTAGTGCGTTGTATTTGGTGCCATCTTGTGTTTATGTTACTGCATTACAGACGTTATTTTGTCTCAAAATGGAGTAAATAAAACAGGTAAATTCATCAGAGTGAAGGTTCATATTGTCTCCACACAGTCTGAGACTGTCCTCTGCTCTACACAAACCAACCACTTTCTTTCCTGTCAGATTCGGGTGGATCTGATCGGTCCTGAGAACGTGGTGGACGGGGACCGTACGCTGATCCTGGGTCTGCTGTGGATCATCATCCTCAGGTTCCAGATCGGACCCATTAACCTGGACGAGGTAGGCAATCAAATTCACAACCTTCATTCTGGCAAGAATTGAATACGCTTCATTTTCTGTTTAGGTAACGTGTGCAAATATGAAGATTTTAAACTTTTTTTATTTAAGTTTTGTGAATGAATCCAACAACATGTCCTCTCCTTCTTGGCCTTCTGCTTCTCCTCTTCTTCCCATCTCTCTCTCTCCTCTCCCTCTTTTCTTGCTTCTATCCTTCACCTCCTTTTGTCCCTGCTCCCTTTCCTGTCTAAATGCTTTCCCTTCTTTGCTTGTTTCCTTCTCTTCATTTTTCCTACGCCTTCTTTCCCCTGTTGCTTCTCTCTCTTCCTTTTGTCTCCTTGCTCCTCCTGTTCTTATTATCCTCCTCCTCTTTCCGTCTTTTTCTTTGTCTGTCTTTGCATTACTTTCCTGTCCTCATTCTCTCGTCTTTATCTTCTCAACTCTCTCTCTCCTCACCTTCTCTCATCTCCGCTCCTGTCTTCTCATATCTGTCCTTTCATTTTCTTTCCACCTCTCCATCCCTTTCCTTTCTTTGTCTTGTCCTTATCTTTGTCTCTCCTTTCATGTTCTTTCCCTTATTAATTTTATTTCCCTTTCTCCTCTCTCCTGTCTTTTCCTTTTCTGTTCCCTTCTCTGCCTCAGGCGGGTGGTGTTGCTAGCGTGGCTCATCGCTCGGCGAAGGAGGCTCTGCTGATCTGGTGTCAGAGGAAAACGTCAGGTTACAACGGCGTTGACGTGCATGACTTTTCCTCCAGCTGGAGGAACGGACTCGCTTTTAACGCCCTCATCCACGCACACCGGTAACACGCACCCTCACCAACACACAGACACACACTCACTTCTTCTACTCTCTATTAAATCTTATGTCTCTCTCTCTTTCTCCATCCCAGACCTGATCTGTTTGACTACCGCCGTCTTCATGGCGACGACCCCCATCGTAATCTGGAGCACGCCTTCTCCCTGGCGGAGCGGGAGTTTGGGATCATGCAGCTGCTGGAGGTGGAGGACATTGTGGTCCCTCATCCAGACGAGAAGTCCATCATGACCTACGTGTCCCTGTACTACCACTACTTCTCCAAGATGAAGCAGGGCCAGACCTTTCAGAAGAGACTCGCTAAGGTCTGAAGCAACATCAGGGGGAATCACTTAACCACTACAACACATGCATCACCTTTATAAAGGACAGGTTACTATACAGCTTCACGGGAGGAGAGAAAGAAACACACGTCCCACTGTTGCTGAGAATTTTACAGTGGTGGAAAGTAAATAATTAAATTTTATTAAAATGCTGTACTTAAGTACAATTTTGACATACCCTACGTGAGTATTTTCCATTTCATGCTACTTTTTAACTTTTACAACACCATTTTCATCTGACAGCTAGTAGTTCCTTTAAAGATTGACTTATAAAGAAATCACAAGCCTTTAAAAGCTTATGAAAGACACATTATCAGAGACTAAACCAGTTGTTCCAAACCATTCTGGCTTGTACCTGCTTACAAAAAAACAAGCTAAGTACACATAAAGTACCTATTTAAAACTAGCTCACTATAGATATTGTAGTGGCAGTAGTAGTAGTAGAAATGTAGGAACCTTTGCTGAGGTGACAGGTGTTGCTAAACAGAGGCGGAGCACCTGTAGTTTTTTGACTGCTTCACCAAAATTAATTGAATGGATGTTCGTGGACTGTGTTATAGATTTTTGCATTCACCAAAAGACCAGACCGGCGGTGAACAATAAATCTGAACAAAACATTAGACACTTATTGGCTATGGCGGTGCGGCGAGCGCATCAGTTAGAGGCCTGTCTATGCAACCCTCAGTGGCTTTAAGTTTGTATTTAGCCGCTACCGTAGTAGACGTAGTAGTGGCAGTAAAAGAAGACGTGGTTATGGCATAGTAGTGTTCATATGCTGCCCTGATGTCAGAGGCATGGTACAAAACTGTGGACTTTTTCACCCCCTGCCGGCTGCTTTAGGAACTGCAGCTTTCTGTCTGATAAAACAGTTTGGGGCCGATTTACTAACATCCCGAATAAAGAGTACTAAATTGCGTGTGCATTCTAAAATATTGCACGTGTAATTGTTGTACCTGTTATGGGTGATCAACTAAGAATTGTTGCTTAGATGACAACAGGTGCAAACAGAGTAGAGGTGGCACTATTTAAATGAGGGTTTTTGCTGTTTTAATGGTTTCCGCCATGGAGAGTCGGGAGGGAAAGCAGTCACTGCCTAAAAACCTCGGTTTGTTTCATTCAGTGGGTCCCAGTATGTGGAAATCGTCTGTACCTGCCCATCCTGCCTAAGATTGTAGAAGTACATTTACATTTACTCATTTGGCAGACGCAGACATACAAGCATCAACAGAGCATCAACTACAGATCTACAACTGACAATACATACTAGTAAAAGCAGCAATAAATACTAGTAAGAGCTCACAGTACATATCACATCAATGGGGTAAATACCTAGGGAAGGAAGCACATTTTTACTCATACAAACCTTTAGTAATTCTGGCCCCTAGTCTACATGCAGGTAACTGTAGAAACATTCAGTGCCTGTAGTCCAATGGGGACTTTCTCTAATCCATCAAGATCCTCCTCCTGCCTGTCAGTCAGTGTGGATTACTGCTGGATTAAATTCAGGACTGAAGGGAAGTCACCCACTGACACACAGAACCCACATCACTGTTCACACCAACACTATAGGTGAGTTTAAATAAAAGACAGCAGTAGACAACAAATAGCTGCCATAAAACATTAATTCTAAGTGTATGTATTTCATCTCACGGGTGTAAGAGACAGAATCTGGGGAAATTTAACTCTGACACTTGCAGCAACAAGTAAGATGTAAACTGTAACTGTCTGAATGAGTGCAATTTGATAACTTTTATCATGAATTGGTGCTACGTAAATAGAACGTAATTCTATTGAATTTAAAGAAAAGGCATCAAGTAAAGTAAATGGAAAGAAGAACAATAATTACACCTTTTAAATTACAAATTAATAACAGAATTACATAATTAAATTAAGATATATAGGATTAATAGTAGTAATGTTGCATGTTAATTGGTCAGGTGACAATGAAGCCTTTTTATCCTGCGTAGGTGACAGTGGGCGTTGCTGCTGACACTAAGCCAATAAGATTAGATCACACACGCAGCAGACGCTGCTGGAGGCTGCAGCAGAAACATTACGAGTCATTCACAAACAAACAGCTACTGAGCTAAACACTGAAACTTCACACCTTTACCTGCTGTTTGCACCTGCTCAGAGAAACAGGACAGTGTCTTTAGTCTGTGCAGTTTGGGTCAGCTCAGTCAAAACTAACATACCAAGGATTTCTGTGGATTTAAGAGGAGGCATTTGATGTTTTTTGTTGTTGTCATGCTCGGTCTGTTGTTTTCACTTACCTCTGTTGGTTTGGTGAGCTCACATATTTGCTGTATGTGCGTTGAGAGATTGCAAAGCTAACAGTGTTTTCTTCACTGTACCGCTTCATTTTAGCTTTACTTTTACACTGAACAGCTGTTGTGTTTCTTAGCTTGGTAGAGATTTCAGCCGGCTTTGGGCTGATACAGGTGTTTGATGTGGTGTTAAAAGTTTCTTCCCTATGGTGGAACCACAAATGTTGTAGGTTCAGCTGAAATGATGAGATATACTGAGAGAAAATGTGCAATCTTGGTTATGGTGAGCTGGCTATCTTATCAGTAAATTAAAAAGTTCTGCTTAATTAAGTGACATCCAGTGTGTGTTTAACATTTTGATTTATTGATGCACTGACCTCCTAATGTTGTGCTGTGATGTCTGGAGCTCTGCTTTTGTGCCAGATAAACCAGGTATGTCTAGTGATTTATCTGGGGTCACATAACGATGGTTTACTTCCACCAAGTAGGTTCAAGTGTGTCACATGCATATGGGCACGTATCTAGCAACCTACATGTTTATCTGTAGTGGTGATTCCAGGTGTGGACAGGTATATTGTGGCTGTGTAGAGATTTGGACAAAGACTTTCCAGGTCCCAAATGATAGCAGGTGTATGATGTGTGTTGCATGTGTGGTCAAGGTATCTAGAAACATTTCCAACAGTAATACTGTATGCAGTAGGTCCAGGAGTGTTTAAAAGGTTTAAAAAAGATGTTTAAATTAGAGTTCACAGGTGTGTTTCAGGTGTGATCAAGGTTTCCAGAAGAGAGTTCCTCCATTATACTGTATATTTTAAGGAAGAGCTGTACCTTGTATGTTCAAGGATATTTATAGTGATTTTCCTTTTCTTGATTAGTTATTTTTAAATGTCAGAAAGTGGTGGTCAAAGCCCAAGATGACGTCCTATTCAGTTTACTGTCATACAGGAGCAAAGAAACCAGAGAATATTTACATTTAAGAAGTTAATGTAACAGTTGACAACTAATCAAGTAATCGTTGCAGCTGTACATGATAAAAGTGTTTCTGTTTTAGAATTTAGGATCTTCAGTTGGTGAAAAGTGTTCAGGATTTGTGTCTAGGTGCATTCCAGGTATTTCAAGGTGTTAGCTGGGTTATGTGCTGTACGTGTTTGTACAGTACAGCGTTAACAAGTATGTCAGTGGGGGGACATCTCAGTGGTCAGTGGATAAAGAGGCAGTACAGGAGAGAATCTTCCACCAGATCCCACCATAAGGTTTGTTATGTGTCTTTACTTCAGCCTGTTGTTTAGTGTGTTTGAGTTCTTTGTCTCACTAGAAAACCCTCTAAAATAACGTGAGATTCTTAATGGATTAATCTAAGGATCTTTTCCATAGCTATGCTGATGACACACAGCTTAATGTGGCTGTGTCTGATGTTGACACATGACCAATTGTTGCTCTTTTTAGATGTATTTTAGATAAAAAATGGCTGAGTGTGCTGAAATGTTTTACAGTTCAACCAGGTTAAAATGTATGTCTTGTTTAAAACCATTGTAAGCCAAAAGAATTGGTATGGTAACCAATAACAAGTTGGGAAACTGGTATTTGTATTATGCTGTGGATAAACCAAGCAAATCTCCACAATACGTCTCATTTTCACACATGTATAAAATAGAAGGTACAGCTGAAACAATACTTGATTAGTCAGCTGACGGAAAACTAATCAAATACTATATTGTAATCTATTAATTGTTAAAGTAATTTTAGTGAAAAACTTACCTTAACTTGCATTAACCCTGTTTGTTTAAAAAAAAAAGTGTCAGTCAAGACGGCATCATTATGTGTCAGTATATTCTAACAATCATGACAACTTTAGCCATTAAAGTTTTCTGTTACCTGATGTTCACAGTATTGTAACAGTAATGACTTCTGTGCAATAATGAGGCAGTGGAGTAATTCAGAATTTTCCCAAATGTCCTCCTCAGATAGTTGGGATGCTGATGGAGTTGGATGACATGAAGGTCCAGTATGAGAGAATGGTCTCAGGTCTGCTTCACTGGATCAAAACCAAGGTAACCAAAAAACATGACTTGTTGATGGACTGACTGATTACTGTCTGACTGACTGACTGATTGATTGAAGGTGGTGCAGCTGAATGACAGACGATTCCCAAACTCTGTGAGGGAGGTGCAGAAGCTGACGATGGCTTTCAAGACCTACAGAACTGTGGAGAAACCTCCTAAATACCAGGTAAGACACCATCATAACCATCAAATATCTCCTTTCACCTGCTCAGACTTAAGTTTCACTTTATCAGTTTCACTTTATCACGTGCTTTGATTCTGTCATGTTTTAGCCACTACATTTTTTATTATTATTTTATTTTTATTTTACCAGGCAAGTTAATTAAAGGGGCTTTCACACCTACCTCATTTGGTCCGGACTTTGTGACTTTTCAGTTTGGTCCCAACCAAAAATTCAAATTCAAATTAGCTTTATTGGCATGAATGTATAACAACTATATTGCCAAAGCATCATACAAACTACATAAGAACAATCAACCCCATACATTTCATTAAACAAGTAATTAAAGCGTAAAGTAATTAAAGTGTGTGTGTGTGTGTGTGTTAGAAAAATAAAAATATATTAAAAAAATAAAATAAAACTGTAAGAGCGTGTGTGTGTATTAACAGACAACAAATAAAAAAAAGAATTAATTGATTAAATAATAATGATAATAAAAAAGAAAAAAAGAAATCAGTATCAAATGTGAAATTTAAAAACAAAACAATTACTAAAATATCAAACAATCAAAATAATAATAATTAGAAAATTTGGACAATTATTTATCAGTCTGAGGTTCCACTGGTTGTCCTCACTTCATGGCATGAGGAGACATATTTTGCAGCAATTATTTGACATTTGGGCATTTCTCCCAGTAAATAGGGGAGTTTCTGTGTATCTGATATAAATTTGAATTCGGGGTAGATTTGGGAAATGTTTGCAAAGTTTATTGTCTGAGTGTTTTATATTTCTGGCATGAGGTTAGAAAGTGCAGCTCCGTCTCTACCTGTCCTGTGTCACCCTGGGAGCTGAGTCTCAGGTGTGATCCCAGGGACCATGGTCCGGACCAAACAGACGAAATTTGGTCCGACGAAAAGAGGTAGTCTCGGTCCGGATCAAACTGAACCATGGTTCGGTTTGTTTCAGACTATTAACAGGAAGTTTGGCTGTTGACATGTAAACCGGAAACAAGCAAATTCACGGAGAAATGCCTTGAAATAAGGACATGATTAAAAATCTCCAGTGACAGCTCATCTTTTCAAACAGACGGCCACTATAGAAGCACACTGCCACATAAATCTTTGGTTTCTCCTGAAACGGAGGTGCAGAAGGATCACTTGCTTTCTTCTCCTCCTGTCCTGTCAGCGACGTTAATGTTTATGTTATGTTTATGTTAACGAAGAAGTTTAATTGCGAATTTGAACGAGCCTTCAGTATAGTTGGTGCTGCAGATAGTAATGCCATAATAATAATAATAAAGTGGCAAATATGCATATGCTCATTTTTTATTCATTCATTCTTGTCAAAGATACCCACTGAACTGTTAAATAAACCAATCGATGTCAAGTATAGGGAGACGCAGCCCACATAGATGATGACGACAGCACACAAGTGTGTCATTTAAAGTCCTTTAGTGTGGTCGCAGAATTGCAGTTTGAAACCAAACAAACCTAACCAAATGCATCAAAATGTATCAAAACATAAACTTTGGTTCGGACCTTGGTCGGGCTTTCAGGTGTGAAAGCCCCCTTAGAAACAGTGGGGCCAAATCTGTCAAAATCAAACAAAGTATTCTGGCATGATTATTGATGACAATGAACATATGTCTGTCTGTCTCTCTCTATCTCAATCTCTAGTAAGAGAGGCTAGTAAGAGTGACTGTGTTACAGCCTACTAGCTAATTGTAACTGCATTTGGCAGGTGCTATTGTCACCTGCCAAATGCAGAAAGTAATTGACTGATGCTGTCATTTCTCTATTGAGGGATGTCTAAAGGTAATGAGCGCTGACATATTCTGCATCTTCTTCACCTATGTCACTTATATATATTGAGTTTTGTTTTATTTAGTATTTTCTTTGTCTCTCTCTGTCGGTCTTTAGGAGCGTGGGGCGATCGAAGCTCATCTGTTCAGTCTGAGGACTCAGCTGGTAGCCAACAACCAATGGGCTTACAATCCTCCAGAAGGTACTTAACAGATAGCTACGAAACATAGACATACATTGACTTGCAGAAAGAGTTTTACTTTTTTTTATAATGGGATATTTCCGCAAGGTAAAACCCTGAGTGACATAGAGAAGAGTTGGGTTTTGCTGGAGAGAGCTGAACATGAGCGAGAGCGAGCCCTGCAGGAGGCGCTGCTTCGCCTGGAGAACTTGGAGCAGCTTGCCCAGAAGTTTGAGAGGAAGGTAACAACATCTGTTTCTAACAATTCTAAATGTCCCAGAATTTAATGCTCTTCTCTGAGACCCTTAGTCTCTTTTTACATTTGTGACTGTAAGTGAACTTCAGTAGCATAGAAATGAAGCACATTTTGAGGTGTCTGCTAGGTATTTCTTTTTGGCATTATTGGCTCATCAAAGAAAAAAGTGTGGAATCACCTACATGTTGCTCTTTAAACCTGATCTGTCTGTTTTGGTTCGTCAGGCAGCACTGAGGGATGGGTATCTGGAGGACACGCTGCGTCTGATCCGGAGGCAGGACGTCCGAAGTCTCTCCACGCTGGAGGAAGCTCAGGCAGCCAGCCGGCGCCTGGAGGCCCTGGCGACAGATGCTCTAGCCAGAGAGCCGCGCTTCACCGCCCTGAGAGAAATGGCCAAGACCATCGAGAGAGGAAACTACCACAGCAAGGAGCAGATAATCAGGAGGTGACAGAAAGACATGGAGGAATGAAAGTGTAGAATTGGTCATTGGCATAGCAGCAAGACAATTTATGTGTTTAAGCAGCGGTTATAAAATAAAACTTAATTAACTTAATCACAGAGCGCATCTTGTGTTTATACTTCATATTAATATACTGTAAATATATATATTTATACACACATGTATATTTGTTTGTGTTTGTAAGAGAGGAGAGCATTAGCCATCGATGGAAGGACCTACTGCAGCAGCTCCAAGAGCAGAGGGGGCTGCTGGGAAATGTAGTTGCAAATCTCAGCATCCTCCGAGACATTGAGCTCGTCTCCCAGGAACTTAAAGAACTACAGGTGAGAATACACTGCTGAAACAAGCAAAACTGCAAATGTAGTTTGAAAGTTTCTCTGTCCTCCTTCTTGTGTTTACTTTCCTACCTCTCTCTGTCCCCCATCCTCCCACCTCCTCTCGCCCTCACTGTCTCCAGTCCCAGGCCAGCTCCTGTGAACTGGGGAACCAGCTGGCGGAGGTGGAATCTCTCCTTCAGAAGCAGGATCTCCTGGAAGCTCGAATCTCAGCTCACGGTGAAACCATCACCGCTATTAGCAGCACAGCGCTCAAGGTACAATATTGATTATGCTTCGTGCCTATATTGCCAAACTGTCAGACAAGTATTGTCATTAAGTAAAATTTTGAGGTACTTTTAATCATTTTATGCTACTATTACACTACATTTCAGAGGGAAATATTGTACTTTTTTACTGCACAACAGCTACAGTTCTAGTTTTTTGAAGATTATTACAAAATACAACTAATATTCAACACTATCAACTAATAAATTATGTATTATTATAAATTAAGATACCTGGCAGTATATAAAATAGCTAAAATTTGCTCCACCTTTACCAGCTACAGCATTAGTGATACTTTTCATATTAATACTTAAATAATCATCATTTTATTATTCTGAAATGGGCGAATCTGCATAATAACACGTTTTAAATTTTTGGTACTTTGAAGTATATTTTGATTCTAATATTTTTACTTGTAACAGAGTATTTCTACACTGTAGTATTGCTACATGCATTTAGCAGTACTTCACCACCACTGCTATTAGATTGTCAGGTTTTAGAAGAAGGAGAGTTTTCCACTAATCTATGTTTCTCTTCCTCTCAGGTGAAAGTGAGAGACGGCCAGCAGATTCAGAGCAGAGTGAGAGCTCTCGACACTCAGTACAGATCTGTGGTTTCCCTCAGCAACAGCAGGTTTTCTCCTGGTTTTACTTTTATAGCTGCTTAGGACTTAATTTACTAACTAACAAATATATACAGTGGATAGAAAAAGTCTACACACCCCTGTTAAAATGCCAGGTTCTTATGATGTAAAATGAGACAAAGATAAATCATGTCTGAACGTTTTCAACCTTTAATGTGACCTATAATGTGAACAATTCAATTGAAAAACAAACTGAAATCTTTGAGGGGGAAAAATGAAAAATAAATACCCTCAAATAACCTTGTTGCATAAGTGTGCACACCCTTAGACTAATACTTTGTTGAAGCACCTTTTGATTTTATTACAGCAGTCAGTCTTTTTGGGTAGGAGCTATTAGAATGGCATATCTTGACGTAGCAATATTTGCCCACTCTTCTTTGCAAAAGCGCTCCAAATCACCTGTGCACAGCCCTCTTCAGATCACCCCACAGATGTTCAATTGGATTCAGGTCTGGGCTCTGGCTGGGCCATTCCAAAACATCAATCTTCAATCTTCACCCTGACTAAGGCCCCGGTTTCAGCTGAAGAAAAACAGCCTCAATGCATGATGCTGCCACCACCATGCTTCACTGTGGGTATGCTGTTCCTTGGGTGATGTGCAGTGTTGTTTTTGTGCCAAACATACCTTTTAGAATTATGGCTAAAAAGTTCTACCTTGGTTTCATCAGACCATAACACATTTTCCCACATGCTTTTGGGGGACTTGATTGGTTTACTTTTGCAAACTTCAGCCGTGCTTGGATGTTTTTCTTTGTAAGAAAAGGCTTGCGTCTTGCCACCCTACCCCATAGCCCATTCATATGAAGAATACGGGAGATAGTTGTCACATGTACCACACAGCCAGTACTTGTCAGAAATTCCTGCAGTTCCTTTAATGTTGCTGTAGGCCTCTTGAAAGCTTCCCTGACAATGTTTCTTTTCGTCTTTTCATCAATTTTGGAGGGACGTCCAGTTCTTGGTAAAGTCACAGTTGTGCCATATTTTCTCCACTTGATGATGACTGTCTTCACTGTGTTCCATGGTATATCTAATGCTTTGGAAATTCTTTTGTACCTGTCTCCTGACTTATGTCTTTCAACAATGAGATCTCTCTGATGCTTTGAAAGCTCTCTGCGGACCATGGCTTTTGCTCGGAGATGCAACTAAGAAAATATCAGGAAAATCCTACTAGAACAGATGAACTTTATTTGTGATTAATCAGAGTCACTTTAAGTTAAGGACAGGTGTGTAATGACTTCTAGTTAACCTGAGTTTGAATGTGATTGGTTAATTCTGAACACAGCCGCAGATTTCAGTTTGTTTTTCTATTGAATTGTTCACATTAAAGGTTGAAAAAGTTCTGACATGATTTATCTTTGTCTCATTATTTTACATCATAAGAACCTGACATTTTAACAGGGGTGTGTAGACTTTTTCTATCCACTGTATCTATACTTTAAACCTCCATCTGTGTTTCTTCATCATTCCTCTCCTCTATTCTCTTCACCTCTCCCCTCCCAGGAGAAAGCAGTTGGAGGCTCAGTTGAGGTTGTTTGAGTTCTTCTATGACTGTGAGGAACTGGAGGCCTGGCTGTATGAACGCTTGTTGAGGCTGCAGACGGCCGGACTCGGACGAGACATCAACCAGATCCAACTGAGCCAACACAATCACAAGGTGGACGGCACAAATACATTCATTAACATACACCTGTCAGGGGGGACAGTGTTGATAAATCATTCCATTAAATTAAAACACTTTATGCTCAATATACGAATTTAATTCCCTCATTTGAAGGTGTGCTGTTTCGCTTTCTTGTAAACAGACGTTTCTGCTTACATGCACCGTTTCTCAGCAAAACACATTTGGTCTCATGCAAGAACCACTTGTGTGAACATAATTCTTTTGGTTTTACAACTGCTCCAGAGCTTTTGTATGAGTCTGCCTTTCTCCACATGGGAAAAACACTGTGAATTTGTGAATCATAATGCCTTGATCTTAATGAATTTGGAGTTTACCAAAATCAGCTAAAATTAGTAATACCTAAAAAAACAAAAAACAAAAGGTAAGTTATTTTGTGTAGCACATTTTATACACAATGGCAATTCAACAGGCTTAAAAACAACATAAAATTTATTAAATTAATACTGAAAGAACAGAAATATTTTTAAAGCATAATAAAAATAAAAAACATTTTTTTCTTTTTGTTTTTTAAAGACTTTATTTACGTATTTTGGCAGCTTCAGTGGGCTAATAGCTAGGAAAATTATCTCACACTGACAGGTGCCTCAGTGCCTTTAAGTACAAGAAGTGAACATCATTAGTGTGACATCAATTAAAATCTGTCTGATTTTTTTCTCCTCCTCCTTTGTGACGTCACTTCACCACGACCGGAATGATTTATCTAAACTTTTTCCTCCTGACACCCGAACGGATCTTTACATAAGCAAATTGATGCAGACAAAATAATTTTCCTTTCATTTGTATTGGGGCCATTAATTCAGTAACTTAATGTGATTTAGTAAATTCAGTAAATTAATCATTCTGTCAGGTTCTGGAGACGGAGCTCCAGGCCCAGGAATCTCTGTACCAGGGAGTTCTGGGTCGAGGTCAGGATCTGCTGTCCAAACAGGGTCAGGTTAATCAGCAAGCCATCCAGAAGTGGATCCGTACACTAAAGAAGCAGTGGAGCCACCTGACCGATGAGGCGACAGGACGCCGCAAAAAACTGCAGGCGGCTGCAGCCATAAAACAGGTAGACAAGGAAATATTTTCATCAAACAGGTAAAGAAAGACCAGGAAGAAAAAAAAAAAAACAAATGGAAGAGGAAGACAAAAAAGTAAATCTGTTTCTCTGAGCCAGTCAATATTTCTTAATGTTTATTTGTATAGGGACAAGTATACAGCATTAACTAAGTATAAAATGTGATTAAACAGTTGTTTTGACTATTGTTCCCTAAATATTTTGCCACAGTAACAATACAAAACGTTCAGTGTAATTTGCAAATTAGCTAGCACCATAGCTAATCTATTGATTAGCACTTCTTCTTGTGCAGTAAAACAAACCATAAATTGTGTTTTTCAGGACTTTTCAAGCCAAAATCTTTAGCTGCCAGCGTTTAGCTGCTGTGTCCCCATAAACCACAACCATGCTTACAGTTATTGAGTGCAGTTGTGGTTTATGGGGACTGGATCCAGGTTTCCTCAGATCCTCTTAGTTTTAATACAACACATGTGTCTTCTTTTGCTCTGTTCAGTACTTTGCAGATGTGGCGGAGGCCAACTCTTGGCTGGGTGACAGGAAGCCACTGCTGACCAACGAGGATCATGGGAAGGATGAGTCGAGCACGACGGTGTTGCTGCAGCGCCACCTCCGGTTGGAGAAGGAGGTGACAGCCTACGCTTCAGAGATAAAGAGATTGTCCAAGCAGGCGAGGAGCGCAGCACAGCTAACAGCTCTGACTGTGAGTTTAGACTCAAATCATACTCTCTGTGTAGTTGTGAGACAAACATGTAAGAACATGTCAGTGTAGTATTTTAGAATTTAAGTGTAGTAGCCTATGTAGGATTTAACGCAAACATGTAACTTAAGCCCCCCGAAAATCTTGTCTTTGCTGACCTCCAGTGGTTTAATGTCTCAACCTGCTGCGGTGAAATAACTATAATGACATCACTATCGGGTATGGTTGCAGGTGCAACAAAGGGTAACAACAAAAGCCTGTTGTTAAGTTACCCTTAAAGATGTCACTTGATGATTTGTATTTCTTAAAACTCGCTTTCCTTGTGTAGGCGGAGACTCAGCAGAGTAAGATGATCCAATACAGCGACTCATCTGGAGAGGAGGAGGGGCCAGGAGCGGTGACATCACCACCACCTAGCGCCAGGGGTAGGAGGGGCTCTGGGAGCTCCCCGTCTCAGAGTGATGACAGCAAGGCCAAGGTCCGCTTCAGATACAGCAGAGGTACTAGAGGTCTGCTCTGTGTTGCCATCACACAGCAGAGAATAATGAGAAATGACAGAAATATTAAACATTAGTTTTTGTTGAGTAAATTGTTAATTTTGTTGCTGTGACACAGAAAGAACATAGTTGATTTATTTTACTTTAAAGTGTATCTGTATACAAAACACTAAAAGAAGACATTCCAGATTTGACTGGATTGTGACTACTGGCTGATTGCATTTCTGGTTAGATGTCATCATTTTTTAAAGCTGATTGAGACAAAGTACTTATTTAAAATTGAAATTGGTCAGTAAGAGATTAATAATATTGGTAATGTAATGCTTTGTCCAGCTCTCTGCTTTTTCCTTACACTTAACCTCTTGTAAGACCTGCAATGAAAGTAACCTCAGGTAGAAAAGAACAAGAAAAGATTATAGATCAGAACCTTAACTGTAATTTACTTTGACTTTCAGGTCAGTTTGTGTGGGATCGTAATGAGATTGTAACAATCATCAGCACTGAAACAGATGGAGACAGAGTTCATGCCGCAGACAGCAGAGGAAACCAGCAGCTCATCCCCAAAACCTACCTGACTCTGATGCCATCTACTGTACGTCAATAATCAATATAATTTAAATAGTATAAATTGTCAATAACTTTAAGCAAATGTCCATTAATATTTGCCTGTAAAGATTAGTTTATTTATATCAATAATAAGTCTAATCGTTGTCAGGCATAATCTAATCTAAAAACCTTATGTCCTCATGTCTTCATGCTGCTCAGGCACCTCCCCCCAAACCACCTGCCTCCACCAATGGGGTGCCAGAAGGCCAGAGCAGGAAGCTAAGTCGCCCCAGGCGCAGACGGTCGATGCGTCGTGGCACAGCTGAGATCCAGACAACATGGCTGCCAGACCCACAGTACCAGAGAGACACCGTGGAGAGCACGCAGGCCAGCCTGGACAAGGACTACAACTTCCTGTACAACCTGGTCAAGGTACCGGGTCAGCATGGGAAATGTAGTTCGATAAAACTGTTTGTGTGGAGATCAAAATCAAGCCATAAGGACATCAGATGGAAAAGAAAAGATGAAGACGCACTTACTTACATTTCCTGATCATTTGTTTTGTGTTTGCAGTCAAAGATGAAGATTCTGGAGGAGACGCTGCGTCTGCATCGATTCTTCAACAGCTGCCAGGAGTTTGAGTCATGGATGGAGGACAAGGAGAACGTCCTGAACACTTTCAGCACTGACGCCGACAACCTGGGAGTTGTTCAGTCTAAATATGAGGTGAACACTTCAATTACATCCTGACGGACTAGGATTTTCATCCTGATGGAAACCAAAATTGTATTAAAATGAGTTTTACAGCTAAAAGGCAACAAGCTCTGCCCTAAAATGGGAAAATAACTGACAATGAAAAGAAAAAAAATGTTCTATTGAATGATGAAAATATGCTTCCTTTATTAATGAGACCTACAGTTACCACGGATCCAATCATTTGAACTAAATGGTGAATCAGTACACAGTAAGATCTAAACGTGGGGAGACAAAATAAGGGAAATAGGAAGGATCTGAAGTTTTTGGGTTTTTTTAATCACACATTTGATCTTTTCTTTTTGGACCATACGACTGGCAGAAAGTGACCTGATAGGATATAAGTCCTAATAGATTCCATTCAGACTTGACTGATTATCTTCTGTAGCGCAGATTTTCACGTTGTGTGTCTGAATTTCTCCAAAACGGTAAAAGGTTTTGAGATCTGAAATTACAATTTATCTTAATTTGTGAACCCTAAAATGTGTTTTTGAAATTACACTACTCAGAATTACTTACTGAAATTTTTAAAGAGGAAAATTCAAATCACATCAACTCAAAGTGATAGTTTTCAAAGTAAAATGTTAAAATTTTAGATTTAGGCTTTATTGACCTCGACTTCCTGTTGCAGAACTTCCTGACTGAGTTGGCGAGTGGGCGTGGCCAGTTGGATGACATAATCAGAATAGCTGATGAGCTGGTGAAGAGCCAACACAGTAAACAGAGAGAGATCCGGGCCAGAGAAAAGAAGGTTTCCAACAGGTACAAACTAAACATGACAACATCTCGTTCTCTCAGAAGTGGTTAACAAGTGAGCTGATGATACTGACGGGAAATTAACTAGAGTGACATACGGAGACAGAATCTTCTAATCAGAGTCTGGTGTCCTGTCCCTTGTGTGTGCAGGTGGGAACGGATCCAGCATATGAAGGATGAAAAAGGACGTGAGCTGCTGAGCACAGCAGACGTGCAGTCCTTCCTGCAGAGCTGCAAGGAGGCTAAGGCTCAGCTGCAGGGTCAGCTGTCCCAGCTCGACACTGTGGACGTGGGCTGCAGCTCCTTCACCCTGATGACAGAGGAGAAGAACCAGGTTCAGGCCCTCAGAGACATCCAGGCCCTAGAGGGCAAGATCGCCTACCTGAAGAGCGTTGCCAGGATGTACGGATCTGATTTAAACATTAGAAACCTCCTTTCTTTTAATTTTAACGCAAAGATTTGAAGAAGAAAAAAATCACATTTGTCTGATGAAACCTGTATAGTCCATGGTGTTATTTCCTGTCTTACAGGAAGCAGGACCTCAGTCCAGCAGAGAGTGCAGCCATCGTAGAGGAGGTTCGGGGTCTGGAGGCTCTGCTGAATCAGGTCTGAGTTCAATTCATCATCACAGACTGAACTGTAGTAGTTACATGTCCTCTGCTCTGTGTACTGACAGACACCAGTCACAGAGTTACAGTGTTGAAGCTGTAAGAAACACCTTCAGACTCCTACTGATGCATTTGATCTATTTATGAGTCTAGTTATGACCATAGACCGTATAAAAGAAGGTCTAAGTAAGTAACCTTTTACTTTTAAGATATGAAGGCCTCTAGTTTCTGCACTTTTCTATTTTTCTGGCCACTCAAAATTCTTGACACTGCTACTTGTGGAACTGTCTAATTTCAGTTCACCATTGTCCAAGTCCATCATAATCTAATATTTACCTTCAGCTGCTGACAAAAGTCTGAAAGAAACACTGAAATGTGTTTACCAAAATATTGGTACGGTATGCCTTCTGCTGGCTTTGATATGTTTCTGTCTCACGTATATTCAGACTCCTGTCGTTGGAGGCTAGTTTTGAGCCATAAAAATATGATTCTGTGAATGATTTCACTGAATTAGTTCAGTCACTTCTTACAGTTGGAACTGTGATACTTTTTGAAAGTTCATCATTCAAAGCAAAATACATATAACTGAATGAACTGAAGGACCTTTAAGCTGACCCCCTTCCAGTCATAAATCACACCAGCTCCTGTTAATACTGTTCTCCTGTTCTGTTGTGGACCAGTTGAAGCATCAGGCAGCAGACAGACAGCAGCTCCTGGAGGAGGCCCGCAGGCTGCAGAGCTTCCAGCAGCAGGCCAAGGAGCTAAAGCGCTGGGCTGTTTCGGTCCAGGAGCGCCTCCTGCAGGAGGAGACGGCAACCGACGTGGCCTCAGCTGTCGCCCTGCTGGAACAACACCAAGAGCTCCAGCTGGAGATGGAGGAGCAGAGTAGCAGGTAAAGAGTGCCTGCTTCTCACTGCTGGCTGAATGTTCAGCAGATACAGAAAAATAATGTCTGATCTCTCTGAAGTATGAGAAAGAAATATTTAGCCCCACAGCAAAGCTCAACATTAATAACCATCGGTGTAAAATATGTGTGTTGTTTTAATAAGTCCACCATGGTTTCTCAGGTTGAAGGAGATGGAGAAGTTGGGACAATCTCTTGGTTCTTCCAATGGGAAGACAGGGAGTGTCGATATCCAACAAACACTGGACAATCTCAAAGCTGATTTGTTCAAGCTTGACAAGATGTGGACCAGTAGGAAGAAGTGTTTAATGCAGGGAGTGGAGCTCCAGAGGCTGAACCAGTTAGGAGATCGGATCGAGGCGGCGCTGTCTGGACACGAAGCCCGACTGAGGGTCAGAGACGTTGGGGTGAGGAGGTTTTACTCTGATTTGTTTTCATGGTCCATCTCCTCAAAAATTCAAAACTATTAGATTTGGTATACATTTTCAGTAAACTCAAGGCACAGAACATACAAGAACATACATGCCAAGTTCAACAGTAAAAATAATGTGTTTTGATAATATATGTGTGTTTATGGATGCAGGACTCGGTGGACAGTGTGCACAGTTTGCTGGGCCGACAGGAGGAGCTGGAAGGTCTCCTGAAGGCTTTGGACCAACAAGTCGAACATTTCACTGAACGCAGCCAGGAGCTCATCGACCAACAACACTATGCTGCAAAACTGTAAGAGAGAAGTGGAGAATTTACCTAGTTAAATATGAATAAAATCACATTAAGGCCACAGAAACCTTTGGTAAAAGTAAAAACATGACAATCATAATTAGAGGAATGAATCTGACACAGAATATCTGAAGTATGTAACATATGTTAGAACTAGAATATTCTTATAAAGAATTATCAAAAATGTACGTTTATGCTATCCTGTATATACATAATTATGACACATCCTTACCCTGGTAGGTGTCACAGCCTGTCAGCCTTATAAACTCCTTACACTTCCTGCCTAACACTGTTGATGTAAAGACAAAAACACAAATGAAATTGTAGACATTTGTAGAAATTTCTAAAAATTTTGTTGAGTCCAACAAACCAAAGCGATCTACCTAACTAGCAGTGATATTGTATGTGTGTAATGCTTTTTTAAAAATATTGAGTTTATCTTTAAGCATCAAGGAAAGGAGCAGGAGCATCCAGACAGCCAACAGGAAGTTGAAAGAGAGCAGCAGGGAGAGGAGGAGTTTGCTTCTGGCCTCAAAGAAATATCAGGTATTATTATGTATTTTACTTTTGTCTTGATGTTTACCCTGATGCCTCGGCGATTCAGATGATCTCATGACCTCTTCCTTGCCCCCTACACCAGACAAAATTCCTCCTTAGTTCAATACAATGGTCCATGAAACTCCACTATGTGTAAAATTAACAGCCAGTTTCAGTCTTTTAGTCAAATATCTGATTATATTTCTGCTTAACTCAGTCATTAGAGAGTGAGTCGTCCTGATGTTTTGTGCTGCAGGAGTTCCTGAGAGATGCAGACGAGCTGCTGCTTTGGATTGAGGAGAAGTTTAAGGTGGCGGAGGACGAGTCATACCGCGACCCCACCAACATCCTCCGGAAGCTGAAGAGACACGAGGCGGCTGAAAAGGAGATGCAGGCTAACCAGGTCTGGCTAGACCGACTGGTTCAGGTAAACCGCTGTTCACTAGTTAATTCAATGACGTACAGTTCATACAGCGCATCTAAATCAACTTCTTCAGTTACTTGACTTTGCTTTCACATTGCATAAATTATATATATTTTCAGGTGGGACAGGAGATGCTTACTGAAGAGCACTACAACAGTCAGAGCATCAACAGGAAGTCTACTCAGCTCAGCAGCCGGTGGGAAATACTTCAAAACAAGATGGCTGACAGAGGAGACAAACTGAGACAGGCGGGACAGCAGGAGCAGCTGATGGATCTGCTGCAGGTAAAACACTGAGAGATTAACTGACTGACTGAGTGAGTTATTCAATAAAAATGTTCTATGTGATTGACTTAGCTAACTAATTGATTAACTGACTGGCCAGCCAACTAGCCAACTCATCAGCTAACTTTAACTGACCAGTGTTCATCTTATGTGACTAATTAAGTGACTTTATTGCTAACTCCCCAACTGGAGGTGATGGATAAGTGGATAAGACACATGCTTTTGGTGTGAGAGACCTGGGTTCATATCCCCACTGTGACGCATCCACCAATGTGTCCCTGAGCAAGACACTTAACCCCTAGTTGCTCCAGAAGCGTGCGACCTCTGATATGTATAGCAATTGTAAGTCACTTTGGATAAAAGCGTCAGCTAAATGAATAAATGTAAATGTAATGTAATTGACCAGCTTTCTAATCACTGCCTCAGGCAACTGGCTAACGTTAACAAAGCAGTTAGCCTGGATGACTACTAAAGTCCCCAACCGACTGATAACTGACTATTAAATTAATTACATTTTTCATACTGCACCAATTCATAACACAAGTTATCTAATTGCACCTTTTCATATTCGAGCAAGTCTAGACCAAGATTTGTACTAACCGGCACAGTTTCTGCTTAGCTGACTGACTGGCTCACAAACTGACTGCTTACCATTAGGCAGGTTTGATTTACATCACATTATGTTTACTCATTTAGCTGATGCTTTTATCCAAAGTGACTTACAGTTGCTACATGTCAGAGGTCGCACGCCTCTGGAACAACTAGGGGTTAAGTGTCTTGCTTAGGGACAGATTGCAGTGTCACCGTGGTGAATTGAGCCCGGGTCTCTCACATCAAAGGCATGTGTCTTATGCGCTGCACCATCACCACCCATGGGCAGTTAGGTTAGCTGGCTGACTGAATTACCAGTTTGCTAACTCACTAACTAACTGAAGTCACAAACTGACTCATTTTAATAATTGACTGAAGCTAGCCAACTAACCAATTTTATTGATTGACTGACTAAAACACTGGCTAACAAACTGGCCTCCGGACTAATGTTAGCTGACTGTTGGTCTAGTAGTTAACGTTACATACTCAGATTGCTAAGTCCACAGTAGCTAACTATCTAGCATTAGCTGACAAACAAACTGTGCAAAAAATAGCTTGCTAATGTTAGCTGACTGTCTGACTAGCTTACTCAAGCGCTGACTGACAAGTTGCTGACTGCCAATGAACTTATCAACTAATCCATCACCCGACTGACTACCTAAGAGCTAAAAAGACTATATTAATATATTAATTATTACATATTAACTGTCTAACCAACTAGATATGTGAGTAACAAAGCCAACTAACTAACTAATTGACTAGCTAGTAAACTAAGCTAACTGACCGACCAACTTGTGTAATTTAGATAGTAATTCAGTGACTGAATGAATCCCTAATGAAATGAGTAACAACTAAAAACTTGTTGGCAAGCAAACCAGCAAACTAGTTGTCTGACTTTTTCACTGACTAGAAACTCACTAATAAATAAATCAAACAATAATTGCCCGGCTCAGCTGACGGATCAGCTTATTAGCAAGTGCAATAACTCTCTAACCACCTAAATAATTTGCAAACTAACAACAAAATTAAATGACTAAACAAGAAGACAGACTATTTCTCACAATATTCAACATTTTATTAACATAGAAATAAACTCTTTCAGAGTTTAACCAGATATCTGTCAGCCTTGATGCTTTTACAATAAAACATATACATTAGGTAAACTGGGTTTTCTGTGTTATTGTAGTTAAAGTCATTCTTCTATCCTCAGGACGCCAAGCTGAAGATTGAGGCCATCCAGTGGATGCTGAACAATGCTGCCAAAGGTCACGATCTCCGCTCCAGCCGGCTGCTTCTGAAGGTGAGGTCACTGAGGCCACACAAGATGTTATACGCTGGTATAACACCAGTCATTTTAAATGGTGATCCAGTCTAATTACATAAAGTAGTTATTGTGGAACTGGCATCCTGTTAGTGGTCAATAACTGCTGTGTTTCTGTGTGAAGGAGCATCAGCAGCTGGAGCAGGAGGCCAAGGAGCTGGCGGAGAAGATCAACTCCATCGTCAGCAGGGCCAAACACCTTGCCTCTAATCACTTTGACTCACAGAGGATCCTCCAGGAGACCGAGACTTACCTCACTCTGTGAGTCCACTATGTATACTCTGCAGAGCAGAGAGCATCTTTGCTAATAACGTTTTTAGCTATGGCTATAGGGATGGCAACGTCAGTCAGTCAACAACTACAGGATGGATTTCTGTCAGATTTTATACAGACATTGTATGGTCTCCAGAAGATGAATCTAACGGACTTGACTTTTCATAGTTGACATGTATGTTATTTAGTGAAATATCTCAAGAACTATTGGATGGATTACCATGCAATTTACGGACATTCCTGCAAAATACCTGCAAAACTAAATTACATTCAGCCATTATGCTGCAGGCATGCCAAAATTTGCCTGAACAGCAACAGCCAACAGTAGTGGTGACAGCAAATGGTGCGGGAGAAAAAATTGAAGGAGTGTGGCTAGCAGGCTTTTTTTGTTTTATCGTACATTTTACATTATTAACCTATGCCACAATCAACATACTCACTCCACCCATATTATACTGCTTTAGCTAACCACATGTTTGCATTGTCGTTGTGAGCATGTTAGCTTGCTGATGTTAGCATTCAGCTCAAAGCAACGCTGTGCCAAAGTACGGCCTTACAGAGATGCTAGCATGGCTATAGACCCTTAGTCTTTTTAAAAGCTGTAATGGTCGATCAGGCATGTAACTGGGTGAAATCAAATTAGCATCCAACCTGTTTTTACCAAGGTTCTTGAAAAAAATTTTGCTCAGCATTTTTTGAATCCAATCATTATTTTCATCTATTATAATTTGGTTCCATTTCAAGTTATTATGCAGATCTAAATCTTCTTTATATTTACAAAGGTGAAATAATGTCAGCAGTTTTTCTGGATCTTCAAAAGCTTTTAATTAATGTCTGATAAAACTGTACAATAGTTCAAATCTTTGTAACCGTCAGTTATTAAAAACAATCCTTAATCAGCTTTCTTGGGGAGTAAAACAGGAATTCAACAGGATTCTGTCCCCTGCCCACCTCTCTTCAGTTTATTTATAGATTTTAACTTACCTGAATCATGAAAACTAACAGTAAAAATAGCAAGAGGAAAAGGAGGAAGATAATTTATCTTAGATTTAGGGGGAAACAAAGTAGATGATATTGGTTTGACATGCTTCGGGTTGCAGGTTCAAGTCTCTCCAGAAGCCTCTGGACCGGCGTCGTGTACAGCTGGAGGCATCCGTGCTGCTGTTTGGATTTTATCATGACGTGGACCTGGAGCTCAGCTGGATCTCTGAACATGTTCCTGCCTCTGGATCTACAGGATATGACAAGTCTCTGGCTGGAGCCATCAGTCTCATGCAGAAACACAAGGTACCGACTTGGTTACAGTTAATTACTTATAAAAGGTCAAATTTTCTCCGATTTTATTTATCTAAAATGCTCAGAATTATATAATAATGATCATGAAAAAGAACTGAAGTGTGATTTGTGAATTATAAAGGTGCATTTTGCAGGTATATCTTCAACTTTACAATTCAGAACAACAGCTTTAAACAAAGAGAAATCAGTTTTTCTGCCTGTGTGTGTTTGTTCACCTAGGAGTTGCAGGCGGAAGTGAGTGCCCACCGAAAATACCTGAATCATGTCCTGGAGAAGGGGCGGAGCCTGGCCAAATCCAGCAAATCAGACGGAGAAGAAGTGCTCCATAGGTGCCGTTGTGTCTCTCTTCAGAGTGAACTGTGCAATTTACCGTTGCATTTTATGTCAGAATTTTTCTGTTATCCTTGATACATGACTACGTGGACTGTTTGCTGCTTTTTGCAGGTGCAGGCACCTGAGTGCAGAGTGGGAGGAGCTAGAAGAGGCCTGCAGCAGGAGAGCAGCTCACCTGAGCAAGGCCATCACCAGAGAACAGGTAAGAGTGTTAAGACTACACAGTATCATGATATAGGCCCGTCCCGACAGATGCAGAGTGTCGGCATTGAAAATGGCCGTTGGGCGCAACAATTGATCATTATATCCTGTGTAGTGTATCATGGAGGACAAAAAAACAATGCCTCACGCCATCCCAACAAAAAGAGTTCTCAGAATTTTTTTGCCTTCCACCTCAAATTCCACAATGTTTTCTCTGTGATGTTGATCAATAGGAACAAAACACAGCCAGTTCTGACACCGTTGTTTATTTACATTCCTGTTCCAGGAAGTTGATGACATCACTCAGGTCGTGAAATACAAGAAGCTGTTATTGGTCGGAGACGATATGATTTTATAATCGTCTCATCTGACACAGTGGCCATCTGAAAAGACAAAAATATTGTGTAGTTTGCACCCGGCATTAGACTTTGCCCTCCATCAACAAAGCCCTTAATAACAAGGCGTTTAATACCAAAGTTACCTCACTAGCTGAAAGAGAGAGAATGGTTGGTCTGGTCTGCTAAACGTGTGCATTTGAGAAAGTGTTTGGTTTGGAAGCATTTTGTGAAGATTTATCTCTAAATGTGAACTGTCTACAGCTGCTGTTGGATTGCTCAGAGCTGGAGTCCAGGCTGACTGAGACACTCACTGTGGTGAACACCGAAGACTATGGCAAAGACCAGCTGGCCACGCAGAGTCTTATTACCAAACATCAGGTATAGTACCCACTCTCCCCAGAGATCTAGACTAAACAAAAACATTAGAGGAGCTCAAATAGTTCCCTGTGGAACTCCTTGTCAAAATCAAACTGAATTCTGGAGATACAGGTATTTTTACTTTCTATTTGTCCACTTTTCTCCCTGCATCTTATGTGTAGATTGAACAATTGTAGAGCTTATTTTCCAAAACATGTCCACCTCTTGTGATTATATGTTTTAAACAAATATTTTTAACAAACAGCATTCAAGCAATGTATGATGGGGAAATATGAAATGTGGCAGCAGGTATATCTGTGGACAGTATCCTGATGATTCTGTTTTTGTAGGTGTTGGAGGGCCAGCGGGAGGTGCTGGAAGTGGAGGTGGAGGAGTTAGGAGACCAGGTGGAGCAGGCGTTTCAGAACTGGAGCCTAGAGGAGCTCAGCAGGCCCTACAGTCGCGTCAGCAGTCTGAACCAGCAGCTGCAGCACCAGGCTGCTCTCAGGTAAACCTTTGAGGATGCAGAAGCCATTCATCTCTGATGCTGTAGTCTAGACCTCAATAAGCTCTTTCTATGAACCTGCCCACCTTTGTGTCTCCTGTCAGGGGTCAGAGGTTAAAGGAAGTCCTCCATCTCCACGAGTTCAGACGAGAGTCATCAGAGTTGGAGGATTGGATGAGCCAGCAGCAGCAGACAGCAGAGTCTCAGGACCTGGGCAACGACTACCAACATGTTCAGGTTACATCTCATTAACAGGATCCTGTAGCAAAAAGAGTCTCTGTCTCTGTACCTATGTGATGATGATCAGCATGTAAATCAAACAGCTACCAGCATGGATTTATATTATTATTTTTCATATTAAACATGTTTGAAAAAAATATATAAGAGCTCAATTTTATATCAAGATAATGTGATAGTTCACAAGCTCACAAGAAAACCATTTATCTCAAGAAAATTAGAAAATGAAAGTCATGAATGGTAAGACACCTTAAAAAATGATTAGGGTAAAGACGGTGAAGGTCACTTTAAAGTAAAGAGTTTCTATGTTTTTGGGGGACATTTCAGTTGCTTCGTGGAAAGTTTGAAGGTTTCCTGAAGCAGCTGGAAGTCGGAGAGGAGAGACTGCAGAGCTGCAGTGACCTGGCTGCTCGACTGATCCGCGACAAACACCCACAGAGTTCTACAGTCAGAGAGACACTGCAGCAGCTCAGGTACTCTTTACATCCACATTAGCATTTTCTAAAGGTGCATCAAACACACTGAAATGCCAGAAACGGTAGAAAAAATCTGACCTTTTTGTTTGCTGTGCACATGAACCACAAATTACCGCCATTTCCACCCTAATAGCTTGCTGCAGTTTTCAAAACGTTACTTGTTGTATAGAGATAATGTGTCAAGAAGTTTTAATAAATGTGGGAAGGAAGGAAACACAGGGGAAGAGTTAAAGTAAGGGCTTCAGGGGTAGATGCAGCTTTGTATTTGACTTCTATCTTCTTTTTTTCTTTCTTTCTGTTAATTCTGACGTTGTTTGCAGTGCATGCTGGGAGGATTTGAAGGGTGTGGCTAGGGAGCGTCAGGATCAGCTGCAGAAAGCCGAGGAATGTCACCGCTTTTACCAAGACCTGACTGACTCACTGACACTCATACAGGTACTGTATCAACACATCACATCCATCCATCCGTCCATTTGTCTATACATACATACATGCAGTATAAATCTTTCTCTCCCTCTCTGTAGGAGCGACAGAAGAGCATCCCTGACGACGTGGCGAAGGATTTGCGCGGAGTGATGTCACAGCTGAGGAAACATGAAGCTCTGCTCCATGAGCTGGCTACCACAGAGCAACAGGTACAGACAGAGAGAGATTAATCAATCAAAAATCAAGATATCCATTTCTTTCTTTTTTGACTGTAGCCCTTCTTCTGAGCGCAGTTTCCTTTTGTTTTATCTGGAGCATCAGAAATTAAGGTTTTTCCACCACATGCTCTGCCATACTCCTAGCAGCTGTAGAAACTCTGATACTATGGTTGCTCCAGAGCCATGTAGAGAGAGCGTTACATCATCTCTGTTCAGTTTGAATTCAAGTGGCTTTATTGGCATTACTGCATACAATAACAACAAAGATCTGCATTGTTTTAGTTGGGAACTACTGGCTGAAAACATTTTATTTTATAAGCTGATCATATGTTTTAGTTCATCTAAAGTGTACTAGTAAAGTAACTTATCACTGTAGCTGTCATATAAATGTAGTGTAGTAAAAAGTACAATATTTCTCTCTGAGATGTAGTACAATAGTATAAAGTATCATAAAATAGTATACGCAAGGAAAGTACCTGTACGTCAAAATTTTACTTAAGTATATTATTTTAGCAAATGTATTTAGTTAATTTTCATTTTGGTTTTGTGGTGATACGGGCTAAGAATTCAACTCAGGCCAGCTTTGGCCCACTGTTGGCCCACTTCTGCATGTCTTTCATTAAAAATCTAGCATGTGTGCAGCAAACTGTTGGAATCAAGCTGTTTTGGGGGCGAGCAACTCCGACTACCTGGAGAGGCCCAGTCAACCAAAATCTCCCCAATTAATTTCTTAACTGAAAGACACACAAACTGCTATAAAGATTTTGAGAAGAAAACTGCTGTTTTGGAGATTGTATTTGGGTTGGGGGGTGGGGAGAGATAGATAAAAATGTAACTTACCCATAAAAGGAATGACTGAGATACGAAAATAAAAGAATTCACCGGACTTTATTTGTGAAGTAGAAATTGATCTGTCGTTCCTTGGAATGGCTTCTGACGTTTAGGCATTAAACCCTCAGCATGTTTCCTGTAAAGATTCTTGTGGATGGTCACACAGTTATTTAAAATGATTTGTGCTGGGGAACGATTAAAATTGCATTGTTATGCGCAAAATTTAATAATAAATTCTAAAGTAGTGTATTGCGCACTTTTAATTTAAATGTACTGCTAAATACACAAAAGTGCAATAACGTGGTTTGCAAACACTTTAAACAAATAATGTGTTTTTTTACTAGCAGTATTCCCTTTAGTAGCAATAAATCTCAACTTAAACATTAATGTAATCAAATCAAATATTAAACCAAAGCTGTTTGCCACTGCCAGGGCATTACCTTTTATCTAGCTTGTTAAAACTTGTTAAAGTGACCATCAGAGTCCACTTTTCTTGGATTTTTTTGAACACGTATCAGCAAAAACATTTTCTTTTATCAGGGAGCAGCAGAAACAGTCTATGTTCAGTAGCAGGTTTCCCTGTAGGTGAAGTGGTCGAGTCCAAGGTTAGCATGTGCGTTTCCGTGAAACTGTTGCGGTTGACCTCACCCGCTGCCGAAGTTGAATTGTGTTGAACTTTTTGTATGCGACGCGCAGCACAAATCGTCGGAAGAGAGACTGATCCTCGCTGTTTGTGAGTTTCCAGAATCTGAATAGTTATCAGGACATTACAGGAGGGAATTCACATGGCAGAGCATCCCCGCAAAACTAGATTAAGGCCTTTCGGGTAAAGTATGTAGCCTATAATTTTTATTTAAGTTAAATAGACACAGAATCAGTTGCCATGGTTACTCTCAACAGAGCGCCTGCCGTTTACTCGCGGAGCGCTGTCTTCTCCCACACGCTGTCTGCCTGCCTCCCTCCGCTGCTTGTTTGGGTGGCTGATTTGCAGGCTGATCAACATCCTGCTCCTCCTGTGACAACTGGTTTGACTGTATGTGTATTCAGAGCCAGTGAACAACGAACTTTCACAATAATAATTATTTAAAAAAAATGTGTTAATGTGTGATAAAATAATTGTCGGCGTTAATTAATTAATGCGTTAACGCGATAATAACACGTTAACTTGCCCAGCCCTAAACGTGATGTATGTATTCTTTGTGTGTTGCAGCTGCAGGAGCAGCTGGATTCCGCCAACTCCATCCTGGACCTCTGCACGCCTCAGTTGAAGCTCCGCCTACAGGAAGTGCAGCAGAAAGTGGTGGAGCAGTGGGAGGAGCTCCGACTTCACGCAGAGCAGAGGGAGGCGGAGCTAAAACTGGCATGCCAGAGATACCTGTTCCTCAACACGGTGAAGACGGACGGATGAATGATTTAACACGATTAATAATCAAGCTTCTCTCAGATCTTATCAGTGTGTTTTTGTGCTCTCCAGGTGCAAGATTACTTCCTGTGGTGCAGCCAGCTGATTGGTGCGATGGCTGCTGGGGAGACCATCAGTGACGTGGCGACCGCTGACCTCCAGCTGGCCCAGCACCAGCAGCTGTGGGCCGAGATGGAAGCCAGACAAGAGATGTACCAACAGGTTCTGGACATGGGAGAAGAGCTACAGACACAGGACAGGGCCAACAGGAAGGAGGTGAGGAGGAGAGAGGATGGCTGTTTTGGTACTGGTCTGGTGTCAGTGGTGTTTAACTGTTTGTTTATGGGTCTTCCAGGTGTTGGAGAAGCTGGAGGCTCTGCGGGCAGAGCGAGACAAATTGGAGGAGCAGTGGAACGAGAAACAAAGCTGGTTAGAAACTGTTCACCTGGAGCAAGTCTTCTACAGAGACGTTAACAGCATGGACAAAACCTCCAGCTCACAGGAGGTACATCTCTAAAGGGAATGACAAACATCACGCTCAGTGTCTGATCAGAGGTAAAATATCTACTGTGTCTCCACAGATCCTGTTGCAGAACAGCACTTTGGGAAACACAGTTGATGAGACAGAAGGTTTGATCAAACGCCATGAAGCTTTTGAGAAGTTGCTCAGCTCGCAGGAGGACAAGGTCTGTGTGTTTAATCTCTTTTCCTGTACTACAATGTACAGCTGCAACTAACCATTATTTTCAATATCAGTCATTTTTTCCATTTACTCAATAGTCTGTTAGAGTCAAGGGGGGTATTTACCAAATGTCTTGGACTTGGACTGGAAAAATGTGGACACTTTTATGGATAAGTGGTGGATTTAAGAAGTAAAGGCCTCTGCAGGCCTCTGTGTATGGTATCCAATAAGAATGGTTACACACAGAAACCTTGCACACTGAGTATGATGCTTTTTATTATTCTATTCGAGACAAAATGGGAGTCGTCAAGCGGTGAGTCACTCTCTCTCTGTGTGCCGTCCTCATCCTCTTCCTTGTTATCTTCCATCTGAATATTATCTGACTTGTTGGAAGTCTGAATTATGAAATAAATACTGTGCTTTTGACAGATGGGGAAAGGCACAGAAAATCAAACCCGTTTGGCAAACCTTAATGATGGACAAAAGCTTTGAAATCAGTGTGTAAGCATGATTTATATAACATGGGGTTGTATTTATTTTTAAACGTTTGACAATTTTAGACGAAAAATATGGACTTGATGTGCTCTGTTGGTCACAATTTGTTGGTGCTTAAAAACCTTTGGTCCATGTTAACTTACTCGACCCTCTAGAACTGGACTCTCTTTTGTCATCTGGTACCGCAAACTCTTTGTTGAACAGCCCTGCTTTAGATGATAACGGTCCTTTAACTTACAGTAAGGTGCTGCAGTGTTCATTTAAATCTTCCCTCCTTCTGTTGGGTCCAGTTGTTCTCTCTGAAAGAACTAGACAAGCGGCTGAAGAAGCAGCTGAGCAGAGAGAAGAGCAGACGGGTCCAAACTAAACTTAAGGCCCTCCTCCAGCGGCGTGATAGGATCAAGGAGCTGTCAGTCAAACGCAGGGAGGAGCTTGAGCTTTCCAGGATGCTGTGTATCTTCAACCGAGATGTTGCAGAGGTAACCAACTAATCAGTCAGAGACTCTTCATCCTTGTTTGACAATATTGTCAAGTATGGTTTTAATGAATAAAATAAAATTAACTGAAGCCAAATAACAATATCTCAGAATTGTTTCAGTTACATTTATTGCTGTTAAATTCTGAGAAGTTTCCTTCTATTTTTCTTGTCAGTGGGTTTTTCTGTTACAGCTGCAGCCTTTCTGTTTGTTTTAAATGATTACCCATCTGTTTGTTAGGCTAAGGAGTGGGTGTCTGAGCGGATACAGAAGATGGCGGAGGACGGTAAAGCAGACCTCAGCAATCTGCAGGCCAAGATGAAGCTTCTCCAGAAGCATCAGGTGTTTGAGGCCGAGATCCTGGCTCACAGCGAGATCATCAGCTCTGTACTGCTAGTAAGTAGAGAGGAGATGTGGTTTGATGACATTAGATGAGGTAAAAGAAAGTGAGGTTTGATTGAATAAAATTGTGAGATGACAGAGACCTGATTTGACTAGATAAAATGAAGCGAGATTAGATGAGGTCAAATGGGATTAGAAAGACACGAGTCTCTTATGAGATATGATGAGATAAAATTAACAGAAATGTGAGACAACAAATGTGACTTATATTATACATACAGTATATATATAAAAGATAAGAAGGTAGTACAGATATTCAATTCAATTTTATTTATATAGCACCAAATCACAAGAACAGTTATCTCATAGTGCTTTTCATAAAAGAGCAGGTCTAGACCGTACTCTGTGATGCTATTTACAGAAGCCCAACAATTCCCACCAAGAGCAAGCACTAGGCGACAGAGGCAAGGAACCTAAAGAGGCAGAAACCTCGAGCAGAACCATGGCTCAGGGTGGGCGGCCATCTGCCTCGACCGGAGAGAGAGAGAGAGAGCGAGAGAGAGAGAGAGAGGAACAGAGAGAAAAAGAGAGGGCTGGAAGGAGAGAGAGAGGGGAGGGAGGCAGCCTACACAATATACACACACAGAGGTACAGACAGTAAAGGTAATGTTGCTATAGACTAAATGAAAAATGGTCCAGATATTTATAGTAGTGTTAATGATAATAATCGTAATGTTAATGATTATAATAACAATAATAACAATAGGACTAGTAACAATAGTCGTTGCAGCAGAGGGTGTCGAGCAGGAACACGGGGGCAGCAGGTGACCCGCAACCACAGATCCAGACTCCACAGCTCTAGAGCCAGAAACACCTGCAGGAAGTGATAGGAGGAGAGAGGAGAGGGACGAGAAAACACAAGACTACCAGAAAGGGGAGAAGTTGTGTTAACATGCAATAATGGGATGAGGTTGCATACAGAGGGAGAGAAAGTAGAGGAGAGAGGAGCTCAGTGCATCATGGGAAATCCCCCGGCAGTCTAGGCCTATAGCAGCATAACTAAGGGATGGTTCAGGACTCGCATTCTGGGAGCGCAGTGCTCTGGTGGGGTAGTAAGGTACTATGAGCTCTTCAGATATGATGATGATGATCAGATCAGATATGCATATGATGAGATGAAATATAACAAGATGAGTTGAGATCAGAGATGAAGAAATCAAATATGAGATTAAATTAGATGAGACACAGAAATGAAATAAAACAGAGGTTAAATGAGGTGTAATAAGATGTTACAAGATAGGGATGTAAGAAAATTAAGATTATACAAGACAGGTTTTTAGAAGAGATGTAAAAAGATGAGATGATGATGAAATAAATAAATAATGTAAGGAGGACTGACATGACAATGAGATAGGTAATAGAGCAGAATGTGATGAGTTGGCATAAAATGAGGTCAGTTAACATAATTTCAGATAAAAGGTGGAGTGGAATGAAATTCATTGACACGTCTCCTTGTTCCGTGCCTCCAGGCCGGGGAGAAGCTAGTGTCCCTTCACCACCCGAGGTCCAAGGAGGTGAAGAGGAGTGCAGCCACCCTTGAGCTCCACTGGGAGGAGCTGAAGAAGGCCATGGCAAACCGAGGTAAAGCTCTGGAAGATAACAGAGACTTCCTGGAGTTCCTGCAGAAAGTTGAAGAGGTGGAGGCCTGGATCAGACACAAGGTATGACCATAGACTGTACTGTACGATCACCACTTACAAAAATAGAGCCAAAATATCCCGGAAATGGCTGCCATCTTGTGCTGGTGACCTCATTTGAGTCAGAGTTTGTGCAGTAGTGATCTAGGTTGGAACAAAACCCCTGTTTATAGCATCAAATAACTAATTAAAAGCAAAATTATCGGAAAATGAACATGTGAACAAACCTCAGCGTGATGAGAACTACCTGCCGTCAGGAGAGGATCGAGATGTATTGGCTTCACTTTTAGGGAACTGTCATGTTGTCCATATTTATATACAGTCTATGGGTAGGAGACGGATGGAGTGATGGTGTGTTTACAGTGTGTAATGACTGTCTCTGACTTGTCTGTGTTGCAGGAGGTGATGATTAATGTTGGAGATGTTGGGAAGGATTATGAACATGGAGTTCAGCTGCTGAAGAAACTTGGCGAATTTAGAGGAACTGGAGATGGGGTGAGGGAGCGGTGTGGGGGTCTTATGTCATGCTTAAGTGTACTTGACTGAAGAGTGTTAACTAAATGTTTAAAATTAAGCAAGACTAACACAAGCACACGTATTTGCTTTTCTTGCTGTCTTTCTTTGAGTGTGAGGAGATGTCACATTATTAAATTCTGTTTGTTTAAATTGGTTGTGACATTTACTGTGTGTAGACCTGAATAGTGTGATTCAACTGTGCATTTTCCCCAAAGCAAGTGCCGCTTAAATTATCTCGCTAACTACAACACGTAGGCTCAAATTCCTCGACAAAGCAACAGTATTCACTGTATCTTTCACTATTACTTCAAGGCACTAACTAGATATTTGTGCTTAATTTAATTACACTCAACTTCTGTAACGCTAAGCCTCTTGAATATGTTAAGTAATACAGTATAATTTCACATATTTACAGTAAACTTGTTTGTTTTTGTGTGTTACATTGCCTCCGAACCAAGTGGGCTTGAATCTAGGAATTCTAGTAGCATGCAGTACACTACAAGATACATGTATATAAATATATATATATGGCATGTTTAATCTGTAGGACACGACAGTGGACGACGCTCACATCACAGCCATCAACAGACTGGCAGGCAGACTGGAGAAGAGGCAGAGCGCTGATGAGCTGGTTACTGTTAGACAGAGGAGACAGCAGCTCAATGACAGGTAACTCACATTTAATATCACTTCTGTGGGTTATTTTATCAGCTTCACACTAAATGTCTCATCTCTTCCAGGTGGAGTAGGTTTCACGGCGATCTGAACATTTACAGGAAGAAGCTGGAGGGGGCGCTGGTGGTCCACGCCCTCATCAGAGAGCTGGAGGAGGTTAGAGAGAGAGCAAACGAGAAGGTCAGCCATCTGATACTGCCCTCAAACTACATGTCAGGTCATCTGTGGAGTCTTACATACAGGGTTTTTAAATTTTAATAAAGTCTGTCTCTGTTTCTGTAGATGCTGCTGCAGGGTCAGGACTGTGGCTTTGATGTGGACAGCGTAGAGAACCTGATCAGACGCCACGAAGAAACAGAGAGAGAGGCTGGGGTCATCCAGGAGAGGTCAGAGGTGAGTCAGAGGGATTGTTTCTACAACCTCAAGACTTTATATACCTGCAGCAGTATTTCAAATAGTGTTCGGAACTAAAGCTGTGATCTTGGTATGTTTTAAAAATGGCGTTGTGAAGACTTTATCGATTTGATGTGCTGTGTCCATGATCACGCCAGGATTTGTCAGGTTATGGTTTTTGGAGACAGATAATCGAGATGAGCCCTAAATCTCAGTCCTAGCTGAGGGATGTTCAAGCACACCCGATCACTGATTAAAAATCTGATTGTGAGTTTGAGCGTATACTGTAAAGTGAAGCTAAATAGACTCTACTCAGGCCCTGGAGAAGGAGGTCTCTGATCACCTGAAGGCTCGATCAGTGATGAGCGACAAGCTGAAGAACAAACAGAAGGAGGTCCAGCAAGCTCTGAAGACTCTGGAGAAGGAGGTGAAACACAGGTGACAGAGACTGTTTTATTTACTGTTTTATAGTTTAAACTTCTAAAGAAGACCATTCACTCTGTGACTCTGCAACAAGCTTTCACATTCAACAGCTTATCAAAACACTGTTAATTTAGTAACATAATTAAAATCACACTCTTTCACATCATGATTTTGACATGAAACAAATAATCGTTCAGTCTGTCGTTGTGTCTGCACCCTGATGGTGTGAGTAAGCAGATTGACTCATGTGAGACGTTGTTTGTTAAGGAAGGAGAAGCTGCAGGAGGCCCACCAGCTGCAGCTTTTTAAAGCCAACCAGCGCCTCCTGCTGGAGTGGACAGTCAAACAGCGCAGTGAGATGGCAGAGAAAGGCCTTCCCAAGACCAGAGCCGAGGCCTACCGGCTCATCATCGAGCATCAGGACTGGAAGGTGAGAGCCGTCTCCAAAGTACTAGCTCTGCGAGTTGGAGTACTTCTGCCTTATACAGCAGATCAGATGTAACAGTAAACTGTGCAAACTAAATTCTGCTGTTTGTGTATTTCCAGACTGAGATCGACGCTCGTGCCGAGCGCATTGACTCTGTTCGGGACTTCGGTTTAGGTCTGATCCGGTCTGGTCACAGTTCGAAGGCAGAGATCCAGAAGGCCCTGAACCAGCTGGAGAAAGTGAAATCCGAACTGGACCGAGCCTGGCTGAACCGTAACACTAACCTGGAGCAGGCCCAAACCCTGCAGGTGATCATCTGAGATAAACTTTAGTGGGAAATGAGTCTAAAATATATTTGAATCTAAATGTGTATCTGCATTTCTACTAAACTGCATTGTATGTACAGTGTAAAGCTAAAATGATATGACCTGTGGGTAACTTTAGGTTTAATCACGCATACTTATCTACACTTACACACATAAACAAGATGGCGTCGTAGACGGCAGCCTCTGGATTAAGCTCGGTAGTGCTTTTTGTGTTTTTGTTTATTAACGCTGTTTTCTGCCGTCCCTCTCTGGTAACATTTACCAGAGAAGAGCTCTTAAATATTGGACTTTCAACTTCATACTATTCCACTGCTCCTTAACGAACCCGGAACTTTCCCGGAGTTATTAGTTGGAGGAGCAGCCGCTCTGTTGGGATCAATCGGAAACGGCGCACAGGGATATGTGCAGGCACGCCGGTTAAACTGAGACAGCGGGGTTTTCGCACTGCGTTCCCTTCAATTCACATGGCGAATGTCCGCTCTCTAGCCAAAAAACTGGACAAACTGCTTCTCCTCACTTTTGATCTCATCCGCGCGTATCGCGAAATCATGCAGGACTCTGTGATCACTGTCTGGTTCATCTTATCCCACCTTACAGGCAAAAACTGAAATCGGCCAAAACTGTTGTAAAGACTGAAAAGATGGACCAACGAGTCAAAGCTGGAGTTACAGGCCTGCTTTTACTGCACTGACTGGAGTGTTTTTGAGACTGCACCCACTGACCTGGACGAACTTACACTGTGACATCTTACGTCAGTTTTTGTGAGGACATGTGTGTGCCGACTAAAACCTTCCGCACATACATCAACCAAAAACCCTGGTTCACAGCGAAACTCAGGCAGCTTCGTCAGACCAAGGAGGAGGCCTTCAGAAGTGGGAACAATACCTGTACAACCAGGCCAGGAACACTCTGACTAAGGAGGTCAAAGCAGCAAAGAGGAGCTACGCTGAAAAGCTTAATAATAGCTTTGCAGCCAACGATCCTGCGTCAGTGTGGAGTGTGTGGAGTGTGGAGTCAGTGCGGACACTCACCAACTACAGGAGATCATCCCCCAACACTGCTGGTACTCAACAACTGGCAGACGAGCTGAATGGCTTTTATTGAAGGTTTGAAATGCCACATTTGCCTTCTGACACACTGCCACCCCCCCTCTCTGACCCCTCATCTGCATTCAAGATCTGTGAAGAGGATGTCAGCCACCTGTTCCGAAGGCAGAAGATCAAGAGGGCTCCTGGCCCAGACGGTGTGTCTCCAGCCTGCGTGAAAATCTGTGCAGACCAGCTGGCCCCATCTTCACACAGATCTTTAACAGATCACTGGAGCTGTGTGAAGTTCCCTCCAACTTGGAACGTCAACTTGGGACTGCATTACATCCTGCAACACCTCGACTCTCCAGGGACATAAGCAAGGATCCTGTTCATGGACTTCAGCTTGGTGTTCAACACCGTCATCCTGGACATCCTCAGCACCAAACTCACCCTGCTGGGGAACATCACATCCAGCACCCGGACTCCTGGGGGGCGCCAGTGCTCTCCCCACTGCTTTTCTCCCTCTACACCAATGACTGCACCTCAAGAAACCCATCTGTCAAACTCCTGAAGTTTGCTGACGACGGTCATCAGCCTCATCCGGGACAGTGACGAGTCAGCCTACAGATGGGAGGTTGATCAGCTAGCTCTCTGGTGCGGTCAGAACAACCTGGAGCTTAACACGCTCAAAACTGTGGAGATTATCGTGGACTTCAAGAGGACCTGCACCTCCATCACTGTCTGGTTTGGATCTGCCACCAAAAATGACAGGAGCAGACTACAACGGACAGTCAGGACTGCAGAAAAAATCATCGGTGCCAACCTGCCCTCCATTCAGGACTTACACATTTCCATCACTGCAGATCCATCTCACCCCGGACACAACCTGTTCCAGCTTCTTCCCTCTGGTAGGCGCTACAGAGCACTGTACGCCAAAACCAACAGACTTAGGAACAGTTTCTTCCCACAAGCCATCACTCTGATGATTTCTCACGGTGTCAGGAACAATTCTTGTGCAATAACCCAGTAACTCTGCCTCTAATCAGCCACCTGTTTACTGGCTAACACGTTTTATTTATTCACCATTCTCTATTTCAGTGCTGTTCATACTGTTACACTGTCATATTGTAGATACTGTATACCTAATCCACCTACCTCAAGTCATTACTCCTGTATAAAATACTTCATTGCACTGTGTACATGTGTACATGTATGTGTACCTGTATATCACATCCACCTCCGACATGTACATACTCCTGCATCCTTTGCACTCTGCTCACTGCACTATTTGTCAATATGTCTATATTGTTTTTGTTCATAGTGTGTATATTTGTGTTGTCTACACTGAAGTCTGTGTCTGATTTTATTTTTATTATTGTGTATTTGTATTTTTGTATGAGTAAGCACATTGTGAGCAATGTACAATCCAGAGTCAAAGTCCTCGTATGTGTACACATACCTGGCAATAAAGCTGATTCTGATTCTGTTGCATTATACTTTGGTTTGGTCACGTTGATACCCTGTATGCAGGATAAGCGGTTGATGATGAATGGATGGCTGGACATTGATAGTACAAGTACATAGTAATAGTAATAAAGCAAATTTGTAAACAAAAGTCAACTGAGTTTAGAGGATTACGGAGTTGAGTTAGTTAAAATCAAGTTTTCTCAACTTCTTTTTAAGCCTGGAGTGCATTTTAAAAATAAAATTACATTTACTTAAGTAGTACAATTTTGAGGTACTTGTACTTTAGTTGAGTATTTCAATGGTAAGTTACCTGATACAGATTACTTCACTACATTTTAGAAGCAAATGTGCTTTTAACACCACAACATTTACCTGACAGCTTCTTGTTTCTGTGTAGATTAGGTTTTTACACACACAACATGTGGAGAAAATATAATTTGAAGCAGAATTTGAACCTCCTTACTTATGATAAATAATAAACTTTTAATACTTCAGGTGCATTTTTCTGTAAGTAAATTAAGTAAGATTTGAGATGCAGGACATTAAGACAAGGCACGTTTATTTGTATATCACATTTTATACACAAAGTTTATTTGTGTATCATATTTCATACACAAAGGCACAAACTAAAGGTGCTTTACGTAATGCATTAAAAAACAGCATCATCAGTATGTCTCTTTGATAACCAAATATTTTTGAATTTTGCCCAGGGCCTTATAACTGGCTAATGTACTGACTCGTCCTTCATCCTGCAGGTCTTCCTGACCTCTGTAGAGCAGTGTGAAAGCTGGCTCAGCAACAAGGAGGCCTTTCTATCCAATCAGGACCTGGGGGTAAGATTCATCTGTCTCCGTCAGTGATGTGGGAAACATCGTTTTATTTTTAAAGAAATTGCTCAGTGTGCTGAAAAACATACCCAGCTTTAAAAACCATGTCAGCTTCTTCTCTTCTGTTGGTGCAGAGCTCGGTGACAGAGGTGGAGACTCTTCAGAGGAAACAGGCTCAGTTTGAGGAGGCTCTGGAGGCTCAGGTGGAACAGCTGGATGAGGTGGAGAAAATGGCCCAGAAGATGATCCAACAGAAGCACTATGACTCCAACAGCATTAGATCCAAGAGCAGAGCGCTCGCGAGCAGGTAATGAGGACCACTGACATCATCAGACCTCTGTTCTTATCCCTTACAAAACCCTTTCACAGAGCTGCTCCCTCTAGGTGGAAAAAGGATTGTTAGCCGTTGCTTTCAGAAACAGATATACAGTTGCCAGAAGTGTAAAGAGTGATTTAGTTATTAAAAACTTTACCTGTCTGTCTGATCACCTGTGTGTAGGTGGAGCCAGCTGCAGCAGCAGAGCAGATCTCGTCACAAAGCTCTGGATCGATCACTGCAGCTGCAGCAGTTCTTGTCCAGCAGCTACCAGGTACTCTACTGGACTCAACTCTTCTACACCTTATTGTAGTGTACTCTGCTATTAAAAAACTTTCTTGTTTGTTCCATTTCTTGTTTGTTTGCTAACGTCCGGTTGCAATTGCCGGCTATGCTAATTCGAGTCTATAGTCCCACAATAGTCTATGGTGCTTCTTGTATGCTGCTGTAGACTATCTGTAGAGAGTAGGTTGCTATACTGTACCCTATGTTACTCAACTCTGGTGTGCTCTACTGGACTTTACTGTACCCTACTGTACTCTTCCATGCTGGACTTTAATCTTCTCTACTGTATCCAATGTTTTTCCGTCCTGCTTTGTGTGCTCGAAGCACTCTTTTTTTTCTGATAAACCAGGTGTGTGTTTTATCCTGTAAGATGTGCAAGAAGATATGCGTGTGTGTAGTAACTGCGTGTGTTTTCCAGCTGTGTGTGTGGCTGAACGAACGTAATGCTGTGGCGTTAGATGAGAGCTGGAGGGAACCAACCAACCTTCAGGCCAAACTGCTGAAACATCAGAGCTTTGAAACCGAGGTCCTCGCTAACCGCTACAGAGTGGAGACACTCACCAAGGTCTGTGTGTTATACCATTTATCTTAAAGTGTAACATCAGTGTAAGTGAACTTTCCAGCTTGTCCTGTTGTGTTGTCCTTAACTAATAAACACACCGATTTTATGCTGTCGGACAGAAAATATTTTTAATGTGATCTATAATTACATGTCCTTTTTCCTTAAAACATTTAGGCTACTAAATGATTTCTCACACATTATTAGACATTTTAATTATATTGTATTAAATAAACAATCAATACATGGAGACACAAGTAGTTAATACATTAAAAAAACACATCATTGTCATATCATGGTTTTTGTGTGTGTTTTAACTTTAGTGGGAACATGACTAATGTTTTATTTTGTCATATGAGATAAAGATATTTGCTAAACACTGTATACACTATATAAATGTATATACAGGAAGTGTGTTTGACCTGATGTCACGTCTTTGTGCAGGAAGGAGAGAAGCTGCTGTCTGAATCTCCCTCAGCTGAACTGAAGGCTCGACTCAGAGATGTGACAGAAAGCTGGGCCGATCTTATCCACAACTGTAATGAGAAGAAAACCAGACTGCAGCAGGCCTACCAGGTACACAGACAATGGTGCACACACAGTAGTTAAAGCTAGCTAATATAAAGTAATTAAAACTAGCTAAAAGTAGGTAAAATTAGCTCCACCTTGAGCAGCTACATTGGTAAAATACTGCTGTAAGATTGATGCATCAGTGTTAACAATCTAATAGAGTCAGATATCAGTCACAGAAGACATTTTCGACAATCAAAACACAGTTATGATAAGATGACTTCAGGGTGCCTGCTGGAGACACCCTGATTCATTCAGGCTCAGTCTATGTTTTTGTACTGAAAATGTCACTAAATGAATTGGAAAATGAGATGTGGCATTCAAACATTCAATGTGTGTGTTTTGTGTAGGCGCTGCAGTTCCAGCGTTCATTGGATGACATGGAGCAGTTTGTGGGGTCAGTGGAGAGGGAACTGGCCAATGAGGACTGTGGAAGCGACTTGCCGTCTGTCAACAGGCTGCTGAAGGCTCTGCAGGGGCTGGAGGAGGAGGTGGACGGACACAGAGACAGAATCCAGGTAAACAAAAGTCTGCAACGAGATGTTAGATGGTTTATTTGATTTTCAGTCCAGCTGATGTTTAAATCTGAGGGATGATATAGTATAAATATATATATATATACATTTTTATAGGGTCTGGTGGAAACAGCGAAGAGCTTCCACTCTCAGGGAAACTTCCTGGCTGAGGAGATCCAGACCAGAGTCACACACACCATCAACAGGTTTGATAACTGTTTTGTGAGATTCGAGAAATATGTCTTTGGTGTAAATAAGAAATCTATTGGGGAGGATGAGATTTGTTTTCAAAACATACCTCTGGATCTTATTAAACAGATGACATTACATTTCGGGATCTAATAATGAGTGTCCAAACTGTCTGTGTCTATAAACACCAGTCACAGTTTACAAATCCACTTCCTGCTTCAACTTTAACCTACTGTACTGTAGCTGTGTGCACGCCTTGGGTTTAACCTCCAAATATAGTGGTTTAGATAATCTGGATAAACTGTTTCTAACCTGAAGTGTTTCTGTTTGAGTCCAATCAAAAATAAGATTAATTATAAATACCAGAAGTTTGCATTAAGCTCAGAGGTATTAATAACAGTTGTGTGTTGACATCGGTGAAAACTCTTCTCTTTCAGGTACAACAGTCTGTCAGACCCCCTGCAGAGTCGGAGGGAAACCCTGGAGGCCTGGCAGGTTCTGTTCCAGTTCTACAGAGACCTGGAGGAGGAGGTGGCCTGGCTGAGCGACAGACTGTCTTCTATCACTGCTAAAGATATGGGGAGCTCCCTGAGCAGTACCCAGCAGCTGCTCCACAAACACCAGGTGCTCACTGACATGCTACTGCACTGATTCGCTGTTCACTGATAAAAGTTGAAAAACAACGATACTGAATCCTGATATAACCTGAATTTAATAAGGTAAATATTGAGACTTTAGTACAGCAGAAGAAATAAGAACACTGAAAAAACACACAAAAAAACAGCATCAGAAACAATGTTCAAGTTTCAAGAAAAACTGAATACCTCAATTTCAGCACCAGTATTCATATGTGTATGGATGGCACAAGTTTAAGGTTCTGCAAAGAAGTGAACGAAATTAATATTATACATGTTGGAGTGATAATATTGTTAATGTAGATCATAGATAATAAAGGATGAATGAATCAGTGAATCACATTAATGTTTCTCTAACATCTCTAACATGAAATAGGGCATGATTAAATGGTAAATCTAACAAGCTCAGTATTAACTTGGGCTCTTAATAAAAAAAAGTATTTGAAATACTTTTTTTCAGGCTGTGATGCAGGAGATCTCAAGCCGTGCCCCCTTGGTCCAGGCAGTGCAGGAAGCAGGACAAAGTCTGGTGAGGAGACTTTTTATGAAACTCTGTGTATATTTAAGTTATGTTTAATTTAAGAATAAAATAACAAGGTGAAGAAGACGTCCACAGTCTATTTATGACAACAATAAATTGACCCTCGCAGGTCAGAGGTCGTCACTTTGCGTCTCACGACATCCGGGAGCGTCTCGAGGAGTTGAGCAGTCTCCATGAGGAGCTGATGATGGAGGCGGAGACGAAGGGGAAACTCCTGCAGGAGGCGCTCAGCATCCACACCTTCCTCACTGAGGTAACACTCTGACAGAGCCAAAATAAATAGAGAAAGTTTATTAATACATTTGAGTCTTTGTGTGAGCATGTATATATGTGTTTTAGTTCATTACATTGTGTGTGTGTGTGTGTGTGTGTGTGTGTGTGTGTGTTGAGGTGTCTGAGCTGGAGCTGTGGTTGGAGGAGCAACAGGCAGGTTTGGAGTCTCGGGACAGTGGTAGGAGCGAGGAGGCGACAGAGGCTCTGCTGAGGAGGCTGGACTCTGTGGACGTGGAGCTGGAGAACCAGAGGAGGATGTTGGAGAGGCTGCAGGAGAGTGGAGCCGCACTGCAGCACCTTGGACATCCCAATAGGTAAACCAGAAAGGTAGAAACACCTGTAAACTCAGGAGGTCAGGTCGGAATGTTGGCATCTACATGACGACTGGATATGCCTGTCCAGGATTTGTTTGGCTCATTTTATCTCTAGGAATCTCAAAAAGTTTTTGTTTCTTAATCGTAAAGTTGTTCACGGGTCGTCTGTTTGTCTGTCTCAGCCACATGGTCAGTGAGTCTCTCCCAGCTGTGCTCGAACACTTTGAGACTCTCCTCCGACTCTCCTCCGCTCGTCGCAGCGCTCTTGAAGATCAGCTCCGCCTCTACGTGTTTGAGAGAGAAGCCAAAGAACTACAAACATGGCTGACCTCCAAGAAGACACTGGCAGAGTCCATGGGTTGCGGAAAAGATCTGGAGGATGTAGAGGTGAGTCAAGTAGTACTGGTAAGTACAAGATGAACCTTGTGTAAGACTATAGTAACTATAATGTCCAGATTTGTAAGTGTTCTTGCACGACCGCTTGCATTTAACATTTGCTAACTTTGGCTAGTTCAACTAATTGCTGTTTCAGAGATTTATTCAGCCCATGTGAGCGGTCACAACAGAGTGAGATTCCTTTGGGTGTTCATAATCAGCACAAATAAGCTAGCCATCAAGCTGCCAACTAGTTTAACTGATAACATGCTAACTGATTGCTAAAAAGTTTGTAGAATTGAACAAGCTTGAAAGGTAGAGGTGTAAATCTTTACTAGCCTCGTGATTAAATAACGATTCTCAAAGTATGTCAGTGTATAGCATACTCAACTCCTTTTTTAAATGTGAAAGTGCCTTAAAAAATCAGATTACAACAGTCTATAATATGATATCATGACATTATAGAATTGAGAAATTTCCATTAGTCCTCTAAACATCCTTCAGTATCAACATATCCAGCTGAATTTAAAATAATTTTTTTAAGAAATCAACAATAAAATCCCTGGTGTATTTTTTGATGTGTGCGCCTGTTTGGAAAACATTTTCATAATTACCTAAAAGAAGATTTTTCATTTAATTAAATTTTTCTGCTGAAACAGCCCCTGAATATATTTATTTGCTGCTGAATGATGGTGTCTGTATGTATTTCATTACATTAAAAAAGGAGAATTCAAATTTCAGTTCAACTGTAAAAGACCGTTTGCTGCTAAGAAAGAGTTCACAGAGGATGAAGGTCTCATCTAGGGCTGCTACAAACGCTCAATACTGACCGTCATGTGTCACGCACTAAAAGTTAGTTTCATAATCCTGTTGACTTAGTATTTTTATTATCATTTATTTTTCTGATTTAGATGAGAATTTTACAGACTTAAGACTTCAGCAAAGTTCTTGCATGACTGTTTGCATTAAACATTTGGTAACTTTGGCTTCCTTTTGTTAAATGCTAAATTGTAAAGAGCTGATGAAAGTCTTGGCATTGGTCCTGCAAACTCATGAAAACTGGATTAAAGTCAGAACCTGCAGCGTTCAAGCTGTAAAGCACCCCAGATATCTTCATTTCTCCTCCCTCCATCTGCAGGTCCTTCAAAAGAAGTTAGAAGTTCTGGTTTCCGAGATATCCAGTCTGGGTCGGAGCCGGCTGACCTCAGTACAGCAGCTCGGCAGAGGGCTGCAGCAGGACGGCCAGGCCCGGAGGATGGACGATGCCCTCAGCAGGCTATGGGATGACCTCAACAGCAGTCTCAGGACCAGAGAACAGGTACAACATAGTGTATAATGCACATCGATCTGATACCCGTGGTGGTTTTGGAGATATTGCAGTCTCACAGTTGGTGAGGATAACGCGTCTGTCCCTTGTCTTCCAGAGTCTGCAGTCAGCAAGGGAGATTCATCAGTTTAATCATGATATCGACGAGCTGAAGGGCTGGATGGCTGAGAAGGAGGCTGTGCTAGACTCAGAGGACCAGGACCTGCACTCTATCCAGACTCTGCTGACACAACACGAGGCGCTAGAGGTAGAAATCATCCAGCAGGATACATGGGCATGAAGGACCCTCATCTGGAGAGGGGTGGGAGATATGAAAAATATAAAACTCACGATTACCCGGGGTCTGAATTTTGATGTTGATACAGCCAAAATATGTGTTTAGTTGTGGAGAAGGATGACCTGTTTTATGAAGAGAGCATAAAGCTTTAATTGCAAAAAGCTGCTGATTCAGTCAGTGACACTGATGATTTCCTACCTTTAGGTCAGTTTAGTTTAATGGCATGCAGTATCATCTGTACATCAGCTTACCTGTCTTGTTGCTGATGTCTGCCATTAGAGGGACCTGGTTTTGATCTCTGAGGAGGTGACCAGAAGCCGAGAAGAGGGCCGGGCTCTGAACAGACGACACCCTCAGGCCAGACCTGCTGTGACTCAGAGGCTGGATGAGCTGGAGGCCTACTGGACCAGCATCCAGGACAAGGCCTCCCAGCGCCGCACTAGACTGGGCCAGGCTGAAGACGTGCAGAAATACTTATCCCAGTGGAGTGAACTCATGTAGGTCCCCTTTGCATCTCACTTTGGGTTGATTCAAACAAACTCAGGCCGGCAGGCCTAAATTCAACATGAAGACGCATCAAAACAAAATACTAATTATAGCTTTACGACTTGTTTGTTGAATATGAACTACAGCAGAAAATTATCATTATTATTTACTAGACTTTATTTATCATCAGAGGGAAATTCGCATGTCACAGCAGCAGCACATGAACCACACAGTGCAGAAAATAGTGCAAGAAAATGCCACAATAAACACAACATAAAAGTATGGCCTTTTAAACACGTGCACGCATAAAAGTGTGCAAATTGTAGTAAGGTGTGAAAAAATAAATGTAGTCGTAAGTTAAAAAGCTACATTGCCTTGTGCCAGAAGTTAAGGAGTTATAGAGTCCAGCAAGACCTCAACAGCCTCCCGGTCCACTGACTGACCACACTGCGACATTAACATGATAATACTGATGTTGGAAGCTGATATTGATTTTTAAGACCAAAAAATCTGAAAATGTTCATGAAACTGGATTATCCATCTTGTGTCTCAGGGCCGTGCAAAGGGAGATGCTGTCTTTGGTACGAGGCGAGACGCTGAGCGTGGAGGGAACTGACCTGGAGCAGCTCATTAAAAAGCACGATGAGTACCGTGTTCAGATTGACAGACAGCTCAGCAAATCACAGGATGTGAAAGAGGAAGGGAGACGTCTGATGGAGGAAGGAAACTTCATGTCCCAAGAGGTAAGATCGAAAGGTCTAAAAGTGCATAGTGTGCTAATAACTTCTCACCTGAAGTCCCAATCTTCCTCTGTTTGATTTCCCGTCCTCCTCCTAGGTGGGGGAGCGTGTCTGTGAGCTGGAGGAGCTGGAGGTGCAAGTGAAGAAGTTTTGGGATGAAACCAGGCTCCTGTATGAGGAGGAGCTGGAGATTTCACTTCTGCAGAGGGAGCTGGAGCAGGCAGAGCACTGGCTGAGCTCCTATGAAAACATACTGATGGCTGAAGACTACGGGGTAGGTCTAGACCAAATTGAAGAGTGGTCAAAAACTGTGGCCACTGACACCAGGAAGTTGAGGGGTATTAGTTAGCTAGTCCAGAGGTTTTCAAACCCTGTCTCTCATCAGGGGGCTTGAGAAAGTTGAAAGGAACAGGTTCATACAGGTGTTAGTTACAGGAAGTTAGTTGCTGTAGTTTAGCTGATGATTTCGCCAGTTAGCAACACGGTCAGCAGGTGTAGCTGCTGCAGTGACACACAGCTCACGGAGGGGATTAAGGTACATTAAAACACTTAAGAAGCACCCAATTGCTGCTGTTTGCTACAAAAACTGCACTCCTTTTCTGAGTCATAACATGGTTAAATCTGAACACACAGACATGATACACATTTTTAGATTTAGTGTGACTTACAGTTTCAGAGAATATGTTATTATGAAGTTATGTCTCTCATATTACATTTTAACCTCCATAACTCTGCTTAGAAGTTTTCTTCAGTATCAGTCATCCAGTGAGACATCACTCTAACAACTGTGGGGTAAAATACGTTATCAATACGTCTCCAAGACATCAGGTAGTCTCAGACCATGTTGTCATCAAAACCTTTCTTACTAAAACATGGTGGTCTTTTGGTTCTTCCAGGACTCTGTGTCGGATGTTATGGAGCTCCTGAAGAGGCAGGAGGACTTGGAGGCCATGATCCAGGCCCAGAGCGACCGCTTTATCGCACTGCAGAAGAAGAAAACACAGGTTGGTTGGTGACTTCTGTTTGTGGATTGGAAACTGAAAAATACTTTTTTCTCTTTGCTCAAATGTTTTCTTTTCTTTTTCTCAGAGGGAGAAGAGACTGGGTCTTAATGGCAATGAGAACATAGACCCTGAGGACAGAAAACCTTCAGCAAGAGTTTCATCCCTGAGGAGTAAACAGTCAGATCAAAAGACCCCGCGGATCTCTTCCTCTAGAAACAGCATCCGACAAGTCAGCACTGGCAGGGCGACGGACAGAACATCCAGATCGCCAGTGCCAGACGAGGAAACAGACAGTACCAGCCTCACAACCTCTGCTAGCACCCCACCTAGCCCATCTCTCCACCCTGACTTGAGAGAATGCTTGAGCTCCAGCAGGAAGGCTCAGAAATGGGAAGTGGAAGAAGAAGCTAACAGTCTTCCTGTTAGTCCTAGCTCCAGCACAACTGTAAATCCTTGGAAACATCGAACCAGCCACTCAAACATGATGCCTGGAACTCCCCTCAGAGCATTCGATGAGCCCTCCTCTCCAAAATGTCCTGAAGTTTCTCCACCTTCCTCCCCAAAACCTCCCTCCTCTACTCAAACATCTGTTTCTTCTTCATCTAAAGAAACTCCTAATGAAGACTGTCGCCACCGATCCAAACCTCCTCTGGCTCCAAAGCCCAGAATCTCCTCCACAGGGCGGGTGTTCGGACGGCACGTTGAGCCCCCGAACCAACCAGAGAAGCCCACTATACCACCTGACTCTCCTCCACTAATCAGAGAGCTCCACAACCTGGAATCACCGATCAGCAAACAGCCTGATCTTCCTGATTTTCTGATTCCACCTTCTGCTGAAGAGGTTACACCACCTGACTCCCCCACTGCTGCAGCAATTAGAGAGGAGGGTACTGAATCAGCTGACCTTGTTCCTCCAACAAGGGAGCTGCCTCCGTCTACTCCACGGCAGCAGAGAAGGTTAGAAGATCTACCAGATGAAGAACCAGTCCTCCCCAGCTCCACAGCAGAGGTAAAAACTCAACTCATTCAAGTCAAATTAACTGTCAGGATTATTGGATTGGTAGCTGCTCTCTCACACCTGTGGTATTGTTAGGTAACAGCGGTGCAGCCAGTCAGAATGGAAGGGCTGCTGGAGATCAAACTAAAACAAGGAGGAAACAAGGTGAGAAACTTCTGACATCAGTAAGTTTTCACATACAAGGAATTTGCTTGAGTATTTTGGTGCACAACAGTCACGATAAACATAGTAAGAGAAAACTCATAAATCAGAAGCATAACATTTGCAATATAAAATATATAAATATATTTGTTTTAACATGAAAAGAGATGCACAGTATTCAAAACAAAGAGGATGGAGTGTACAAAATATTGACTAAAAGTGTGCAATTCCTCTCGTTATGAAGAATAATTGCAATGAGTTAAAAGGTATAGTGTTCTTGAGCAAGACTCTGAAGGCCAAGTTGCTTCCAAAAATTGTGACATTAGCATGTCAAAAAATGTATGAATAACCAATAAATGTAATATAACAAGAGGAGCACTACTGTGGAGGGATTAATAGAGCTTATAATTGAGCCAATTGGCTCCAGCCCCGCTGTACGCAGGATAAGCGGTAGACAATGGATGGATGGATGGATAATAGAGCCAATTTGTCCCAGTGGTCATTTCTGGTATTGCAACGAAAAAAATGCCCCAAAATAATTTCTATTTCTATAACTATTCACAGGAATTTCTCCAACTGCAAACATGCTCAGTTATTACTCTTTCTATTATAAATGTTTAAGGCATGAAGCTTTCATAATTGTAAAACTTCTTGCGCAGAGCCTCACACACACACACACACACACATACACATCACACAGCTGATGTCTGTACAGTACATTGTACATTGATGGGAGCAAATAAATATGGACTTCAAAAAGTTCCTGCAGGAAATCCACGTGAATAAAGAGAGGAAAGAATCTGCCTTACATTCAAACTTGAATTTAAAAAATGTGCAACAAGGCTGAGGTTTTCCAGGAATCACACAAGATTGTAGAAACTCCTAATAAAAGTGAACACACACTTTCCTGTTTAAATACATTTTAACTTCTTGTATATTATAAAATGTTTACTGTAATGCCTCATATTTAGGAAAATGACACACAAACAGCAGCTAACACAAAATGTATTTGATTAATAAATAATAATGCACAGTTTTGTTGATCAGCACTGATCGTACTTAATTTTATGCTGAGTGCAGGCTTTACAACTTTTACCCCCAAAGTGGCTGCATATCCCTTATGACCTTAGGTGGGCATTGTCTGACAGGTGTGTCTTGTCTCTGTGTGATTGGCTGCTGCTGCAGAGTCTGGAGCACTGGGAGGAGGTGTTTGCTGTCCTGGAAGGAGAGACGCTCAGCCTGTTTACAGACAGAGAAGCTGCTGCAGAGGTACGACAAAACAGAACGCTGAAAGCATCAACCTGGTGGCAGAAGATTGTGTGTAATGTCACACTTGGTTTTACTGAAACAAACGCAAATAATCAATCAGGAGTATTACAGGAGTGGAGTAAACAAAAAACTCCTGATTGATTATTTTTTATTTCATGCTAACTTTGTGACATAAAAACAACATAATACACTTTTAATTAGTAAGGAAGCCTTATGAAGCTTTGGAGCTTCAAATAAAAAGCTAACAGTGACTTCTGGTGGCCGAAGCTCTGCAACACCTCCCTGATTTTAATAGTTTTAGTCTTATACGTGAGCAATAAAAGTCCAAGAAGCCTGTCTGTTATTTATTAAACCTGCAATGCTTTTGTGCTGCAATAAATGTAGATGTTATTGTGCAATATGTTGCAGTATATAAGTAGTAAATAATAATAATACATACTAAGTGTCACTGTGGACTGGTGTGTTATAGAATAATATTAATTTAAGTAGTTACTTTTATTACATTATAACTTGGTATCAGTCAACTTCCCATATGTGAGATTATGCATTTCTGATGTCCATCTCCATATTTTTCTATCATTCTCCTCTCTTCTTCTCCCACTAATGTGCCGATCACAGTTCAGCAGCAAATTTTGAGAAATGAAAGAATCTTTCTGAAGCAGCATGACTGACGTCATCTGTCATTATATTATTATTCCTCCAAACAAGAGTCCCTCGCAGAAAGACATGTGTGTTGTGTTTCCACAGAGGACCTCTAGGTGGCCCCCTATCAACATGGTTGGAGCTGCTTGCAAGGAGAACGTTAACTACAGGAAGAAGGAGAACACTTTCAAACTCATGTGAGTGAGCTGCAGAGACTCTTTAAAGCTTCACTGGATGAAGAAGATTTGACCTTTTGAATCCTGATCCAACTTTTTTTTGCTGTCAAATAGAAATTCCAGAAAATTATGGAAGATAATATGTTGTGTTTACACTGAGAGAAAAATTCAGACTACATGTTTTTATGTTTTATTCCATCAAAAAATCTAAATATAGATGCATCATTTTAGACATCTCTCCAATTCAGTTCTGACATATTTGGTATTTTGGGAACTACATTTGAACATAAAGTTTTATAGGTTTGAGCAGAGCTTCACAACATACTCAAACAGGTTAGGTGATGTATCTCTGTAAATAAATGTTCTTAGAAGGTTTGTTGTTGTTGACTGAGTGTTTCTGTATCTCAGACTGGAGGACGGCAGTCAGTATCTGTTCGCAGCGTCCAGCAGAGAACTCCAGCTGCTGTGGATGAAGAAGCTCCAAAACTGCACTGAATCTGCCGGCAGCGACTCTGACGACTCAGGGTGAGCTGACAGATACTTTATACTGGACATGAGAGAATTATTCAGATCTTAATACCACCTTGTGAAAATACTCCACTGCAAGTAAAAGTTCTGCATTCAAAACGTTACTTAAGTTAAAGTATTGCAAGCGAAATGTACTCAAAGTACAAAAGTAAAGGTACTCATAGTGCAGTAAAATGCTCCTGTAAGTGTTTCACTATTATAACTGATGTTTCTGGATTAATATTCCTGCTGCATTAATGTGTATGTTGCATTTTACTGCTGTAGATGTTTATGGTGGAGCTCATTTAACTTCTTTATATCCTGTTGGGTAGTTTAATCTACAGTAATGCACCATAGTCTATAAGATCAACATGTGTGTGTAGCGTCGCTGTCCTGTGAGAACCACATATGTCTTACAAAGTCAACTTTCCATGAGCTCAGAAAAGCAGTTTTTATCTCTGTGACGATGCATTTTCCAGCCGATCCAAGGCGGCGTTTAATAGTTTATTTAGCTTAAAAAGGAGAATGATTTTCTCAGAACATAAAGGAACACTTCATCCTGCAGTTTTTTACAAACATGTGGAGATAAGTGGTTTTCACTGGACAAAAAGGGGGTGGAAACTAATCTAAAAAGTAGTTAATTGGAATTTAAAAGTACAATATAATAGCATGAAATTAAAATACTCAAGTAAAGTAAAAGTACCTTGAATTTGTACTTAAGTACAGTACTTGAGTAAATGTATCCAGTTACTTTTCACCACACTCTTAGACACACTACATTCACTTGCCTTAAATCTAAATCTTCTTCTTAACCCTCGAGTTGAGTCGAGACAAAATGTGAAGGGAATTTGGTAGTTTGGGTCTGTGTTTTTGGGAGTTGAAAACATTTCAACTTGAGCAACAAAAAAAAAGTGCATCCTGGAGTTTTATGGATGACTTCATAAATATACATCCCAAGAGGGAAAATGAAGAGAAACTGGAGGAAAATATGTGAAAAAAGAGTTCCTGATGAGAACTAATACCAGTCAGAGCCTCTCAAACAAACACTTAGCATGCTGACAAATAATAAACCCTCTACGTTTATTCACAGCTAACAAATTTGTGTAATTGCTGGTGAAATGTAGCTTCGTGCTCTGTCTAAACTTACCTTCTAATAGCACTTTGAAGAGATGAGGACTGAACACACCTCACTTGTCTTCATTATCCAGAAATGTGAGCAGTTTCACAAGTAATGAAGGCACTGATCCTGTTGTGTGAGGGGTTTAAAGACATAATCTTAAGGTCGCCGACATATTTATGTATAAACCGTGCTGATTCCCTCTTCTCAGCCTCGAGTACATCCACAGTTTAATGTTCTTTTTTTTTTTTTTTCTGTGCTAGACAGTGCAGACAAGTGCAACCAGTTGACGACAAAAAGTTTGCCCCCATGTTTGTTTATGTCTGAATTCCCGTTTGATTACGCAGGATCCAAAGTCTCCTGAACCGGCGCTCTGAAATCATTTAGCATAAATGCCAAGTGTGTGGTCCTGCGTCTGGACTGAATTGTCTGGTGTGTGCGTTCTTTCTATCAAGAAATACTATAAATCTGTTGTTATGTCTGTAGTATCCCACGATTTTAAAATCAGTGAAGATTTGAAAATCCTGTTGTTTGCAGCAGGCATAAATTAGGCCAGCACCGAAGTTGTTCTACATCAACACTGAGCTCTGCATCTCGTCTACACCGCTGCTTCAGCCTCCTCCTTTATCTCCATTTCTATGCTTCTTTCAAACCTCAACAAAAACCTCAACATTTCAATGAATGTCTTGACTATATTGAACAAAATGTGTCGGACTTCAAAAAATGTAGTAACTTTTTCAGGCAGCACGTTTCAGCTTGTGACCTTCATTAGTCAACAATACCACACATGCAATCATACACACAAACACAACAATGTTAAACAACAATGTTATAAAAGCACATAAATGAGGATTTTTGAAAGTATTTAAGAACGTATAATTTATACATTTACATTTTAACATGATTTTGATCAGTGTTCAGAAAGTACTAAGGTTTGATGCATTAATATTTTTGGCCTGGCTGTCATTTCTATCACTGGCCTGATTACTCCTGCGTTGATAGAATGCTCCTGGTCTAAATAATTTTACTTATAATAATGATTTTTTGAAATGAACTGAGTGCTGCTGGTACAAAAGCTTTGTGTGGCTGGTTTTGGCTTTGGAGTCAAACAGGACGTCTGTCAGTCCGAAGTGTTTTGATGGACTTTCAGACTGAAGTGGTTTCCTTCAAACAGCGTAAGGTAATTTGACTTTGACTTTCACATCTACCTGTTCACGCTGTGCACTGTGGGGACGCCAGGCACCTCTCAGGTGGGTGAGAGGCCAATGAAATGGAACTCCCTGCCAGCAGGATTTTTCTTTAATGAGATACTTTGACAAGGTGAATTACATTCAGCGGGCGCACAGTGGTGGAGAACCACACAGTGGCACAGGACGCCACGTGGCCACGGGTCTGCTCAGCTGTCATGCATTACATCTGGTTTAGTTTGCGACATGGAGATGAAATATACGGCACTGCAGAGGCGACATGACTAATGCAGTCACAAAATACATTGATGAAAGGATTTCTGCAGGAGAGACACAGACGGAGACAAATTAAAGGGAAAAAAACCTGAATAAATGAGTGGAGAATAACATCAAATGTAGATGCTTCCACACAGGTGCACTGCGTGGTGCAAGATGACAATTAATATCCAGTCACGCTCTGTGGCATGTATAAAAATGCTGAGCTGGCCCAGGTGAGTCTGTATCAAGATGGCGACAGGAAAAGATCAAAGTGTCTTTGGAAGAGGGTTCATTGTTGGCACACCGTCAGCAGGAACGGACCGTCCACTGTCACACAAGAGTGATGTCACAATGAGGCTGCACTGCGTAAACCCCTCATCACAAAGATGAACGCACATTTGAGAGTTCAGAGACACTGATCTACAGAAATGTGATGAAAGGTATGTGGTCAGATGAGGCGTCCTTCACCTTATACTGGAGGAGAGGGCAAGTGCATGTGTGGTGAACACCAAGAGGACGGTACAGGCCTGAATGCTGGACCCTTAGAGGGAGGGGCTTTGTCGCTCTGTTAGGCTGTGGGGGGCATTTTTCAGGCTGTGTTTTGGGTCCACTTAGTGGGAAGGGTCACTGCAAAATCATACAACGCTGGTCTGAGTGATCACCTTTACCCTATGATGAAACATGTCCATCGTGATGGGAGTGGTCTCTTCCAGGATGACGGTGCCCCCCATCCACAGGGCAACAGGGTTCCCTGAACAGTTTGATGAGGATAAAAAATGATGCTACGGCCTAAGCAGTCACCAGATCTCAACCCAGTTGCACATGTATATGTTTCCAAATCAGGAAATATCTTTTGGAAGAATACTCTTCATCCCTCCAGTAGAGTTGAAGCTGTTTTGGCGTCACGTGGTGGCCCAACACCTTACTAAGACAGTCTGTATGTTTATTTAAAAGGTGCAGAAATAATAGTTTGAAAAGGAGACACTTTGGCTTTAGCAGCAGTGGGCTATAGTTTGACCAACAACTGCTATTTCTCTCAATATCTACCCCAGTTTCTGGTTAGCTAGCAGGCAAGATAACATTAGTTTTTTAGCTAACAAGTCTTTGCTCAACTCTTGTTTGGAGGTTGAAGAATAGGGCTCAACAATTAATCAAAATCTCAATTTGGCCTATTGCAGTTCAAATCACAGGAAGTTTAGTATTTGTTAAAGGTGAAATATCTGTCAAAATGCCATTTTAAATTAAGTATTGTCGTGCTGCAGAGATGTCCTGGCCTACACATCATATTCTATAGACTTAAGAAAACATCTTTGTTATGTACAGATCCCAGAAAATTCCCTTAAATATTTATGTAATTAATTTTTTTTTTTTATTGTTTAGCCCTGTTTGAGAATAGGTGCATTAAAACAAGTTTTTGCCTGCTAGCTAATAGGTGCAAAACTTCACCCCACTGTTGATGATGACATAAATAACATTCATTTCATTCATTCATTTTGTGATAGTTCTCTGATAAAAATGACTAAATTCGCAGCTTTTTTGTTGATTTGTTTGTTTTTTTTAAAAACTTGTTTCACTTTTGACCAAGCTAGGTTAAGCAGTTTCACCTTGCTTCTGGTCTGGTCTAGATGAAACTGATATCCATCTTCTCTCCGTCTATACAGAAAACTTACAATGAGATTTCTCAAAACGTTGGACTGTTCCTTAAATATTCCCTTTGGTTGCTTGTTACACAATGAGCTAACATGTCACTTACAAAATGTTAGCCCACTAACAACGAAAGTCTGGTTTGGGGGCTGAGAAATCACCTCAAAAAGCACTTTGTACACAACGAGTGCACTAACATTAGCTCGTTGCTGTTCAGGAGAGCATCATCAGTCAACCTGAGTTTGGAAAAGTTGGCGGAGGCTCCGGATGATTCAACCTCGACCAAGCCGTTTGACGGCAGACCTGAGAGCCTGGATAGACAGTCATCCACCGAGGGGCAACCTCCTCCCAAACCCCCCCACACATACTACAACAAACACCGCTACCCTAGAGAAGGAGAGGTCAGGAGCACAGGTGAGACGACACAGAGGAATGCAGGGAGCATGTGAATTCATCTGTGTGGATGTTTGGTCTCAGGTTCAAGTTACTTTATTTGCAGTGGACAAGTCATCCTCACATTTTAGAAACAACACAGACAATCAGTCCCTCCAGGATTTCACAGGCCTTTTTTTTGATTGTTGCGTCTAATATGCCTGATTTTGTGGCAGATTTTCTAAGAGCTTTTGATAAATGTGCGGTGTTTTGGGGTGTTTTTTTGCAATGAAAATGAAATTGTGGAAATAAGTGAAAACTGCAAAGTTAGATGGGATTTTTTTAAACTTTAGAATTATACTTGAATCATTAAACAGTCCCTTCAGGATTTCTCCAGGATAATCCTACCCCTAATCATACACATTTAAACCAGCTTACCTTGATTCTTTCAGCGCTTGCCGTTGACCGGGATGCAGCAGCCTGTATCACAGTGATTTGTCTTGTCTGACGTCCTCCATGCGTTTCTGCCATTCTCTGCATCTGTTTTTGCGGCGGCAAAATGTTTGTCACTAGACAATTTCCTTTCATGTTCGACTACAACACTGCACGTTTTACTAAACAGTTTACCCCTGCTTAAGTAAAAAAGACATGGATACTGTTTTTTGTAGTCAAATGTGAGACAGTGGTATCACACCTGTCTGCTCTGACTTGTAATCAAGGAAGGGAGCTGGCTGACGTCTGACAATGTTATGCGGGAACCTGTGATGATATGTCAACTTTGCAGAAAAGTTTCAGCGATCGGTCAAAATTGCAAGTCGCGCTGAATTCCCGGGGATTTGTTGAATTTGTGTTAATAGTTGCGAATTTCTGGAGGGACTAGACAATAGACACTTACATTTTAAAAGTACTCAAGGTTCCATTCATCACTAAAATATTAAAAAGAATAAATGTTGCTTCTGTATCATCTGTGCAAATTGTTCTTCTGAGTCATAGTTGCTGGAACAAAGCTATTTTTATACCGCTTTATTCTGCACTTTGGGACTATAAACCTGTGTCTAGAAGGAAGAAGCTGATATTCACTCTGCAAAAGGGGAAAGTCATCATTTAAAATTGAGCCAGTTATCCGCCGTAACTGTCTGTTGGACTGGGGACGCTGGGTTAAGCTGTGACTCACCAATCAGCCTACTAGTTAAACAATTTGGTTCAGAGAGTTTCTGTTCTTTAAGAGGTCTGATTGTAATTTATTGCACTGCAGGTACACAGAGCCATCAAAACCAGCCCCCTTCAGTGCCTCCTCCTCCTCGTCCGAACCCGGACACCCAGGGCCCCCCCAGTGTGAACCCCCACCTAACAGACGACAGCAAAGACAAGTCAAGGAGGAGCGTCTTCAGGAAGCTTTTCACTAAGAAGTAGAGCTTTATTGATTCTCTGCAGCTGTCCTTCCTCATCACCAGCCGGTTTCCTTCATCCTGGGAAGACAAATTGTGCAGGTGACACAGCCACTGACGTTTTGGATATTAATGTTGGAATAATAAAGTAAAGTCAATAAATGGTACAATTTCCAGACATGACGCTAGAGGAGGCGTCTGATCTGAAGTAAAAGTGCTTTTTCTTTCACATGTTCACAAAAGGCCTTAAAAGTGTGTAAATTAATCTTAAGTTAATTTTTATTCTTACTCAAACGCTTTTTAGTTGTTTGTTTAGGAAGAATGCACTTATCAATTTCTAACTCTTGTAGTTATAGAGTTTGAATGCTGTTTGAATGGATGAGATGTTAAAGATCCATGTAACATCCTGACTGATCTTCAACACCGGAAAACCGCTCTCTGGTAGCAGGTTTATGGTATTATTAGTATTTCTGCTACTACCACTCAGGCCACGTCATAGATTTAGGGGGGTCTAGAGGGCATAAATACTCCTGTTGTAATGAACACTATGAAATGGGACCTAGATCAATAGAAAACATAACAAAGTGACTGTATGTTTAAATTTTAAAAAAGGTAACTCCTCCTCATGGCCGCTGCCTCCTCTTGTGTACACTGAAAATGATGTAAATGGGAAATCAGCCAACATGAACACCATAGTCAGACTGAATGATATAGTGAAACAAAATGGTGGTTCAGTCTGAATATCAGGCTACAAATTTGGAGTTAAGTAGGAACTTAACATTCAGTCTTTCACTGTAAACGGCCTCGGCTCAGAGATGATGCTCTCCAGTTTCATTTGAAGGGATTTTTATTGAGAACTGAAGTCCTGGAGCTGACAGCAGGTGAATGCCTGGGGCCGCGTCTTAACTTTGCTCTTATGTTGGCCCCACACTAAAGGATAACGGGGCAGATTCTGGGTCAGATTTGCTCCTCCTGACAATTGTAGGGGTGTTAACCAACTTGAGGCTGGTCTGAACAGGTTATCTGCCCAAATGATCCTATAGTGTGAGCGGCTTAAAGACTTGATGTTAAAGGATAATTTCAGTATTTTTAAACCTGAACCCTATTTCAACATGTCTGTGTAGAAATGACTAGTAGGTACAGAAGTACATTTACATTTCCTCATTTGGCAGACATTTTTATCCAAGATGTGAGGAACAACATACAAGCATCTACTAAGCATCAATACAGCACGAGATCTACAACTGACAATAAATACTAGAAAGAGCAGCAATAAATACTAGTAAGAGTTAATAGCACAAATGGCATTGATGGGGTAAATACTAGGGAAAGAAGTAACAAGTAAAGAAAAAAGTGCAATCAATACAGGATAATTGTAAGGGGATAGAAGAAGAAGAGCACAGGAAGTGCATGTTAGGGGTTAGAGAGGAAGTGTTCTCGGAAAAGATGAGTTTCTTAAGAGCTTCTTGGAGTTAGAGAGGGAAACCTGCTCAACGGGCCGCTTCAGTCGGTAGCTGCGAACTGGCTGCAACTTATTCCTTTGGAGCAATTGTGCCCGTCAAAGTTACGTCCACAAAAAGTGCTTCTTTTTGCCCCCGACAGGCTCAGACTGTTAAACCAGGTGTCATCATGGAAAGGATCTCTACAATGACTCCCGTTGACACCCTTTGTTTTTAACTGAAAACGCTCCAGGACAGTTCTCGCTCTGAAATCTCACGAGAGGCGAGTTGCCGCAGCAAGACGCCGGTGGAAACGAGGGAGAGGAGTTTGTTGTGTTGGAGGAAATAAAGTCGTGCTAGCAGTTCCTCTACATACACAACAAACTCCTCGTTTCCACCGGTTTGTAATAATATGTGACACTTATGCACTTGAGTCAAGAACTAGAAGGCTTTGTGTAACAAATTAATTTCGACGTCTGTCCTAATCTGTCAGTTTGATCTAAACCAGAGACAGTCTGTCGTCATGGAAGCGGCCCCAGGTCATTGTTAAAGCAACAGACAGACGTTAACTCCGATCCGCTTAATATTCTCTTAACATCACCTCGAGTGAGAATCTGCTTGTGTCTCATCTAAAACAGTTTCAAGTGACTTCATCTGAAGAGTTTTGCTCCAAAATATGATCTCCACCTTTTGAAAAGTGACACTTGCTCAAAGAAAATGATTGACGGCTAAGTCAATTCAAACAAATTTGTCCCATTTAAGAGCAGAAAAGGTTTCTGGAGACATCGCACGGCGTGAAGATGAAACATTAAACGCAGATGATGCTCCGTGTTTTAGTGACTTTGAAAGATGAACTTTGGTTCAGTGTTTTTGGAAATGAACTCCCATTTATTTATTAATGAGCACCAAATCCAAACATCTTCAGACTCATCCTCTCCTCCATTCAATCAGATCAATAAGATAATGAGTCAGATTAAGACTTTTGAGAGAAATCAGGAGTTCAGACACTTATTCAGTTTGCGAAATTAAAATCAATTTAAGTGTTTGAGTCATTCAGATGATATGACTCCAGTTTATGAGTCATAAACATCATAAACATCTGACGTCACTTCGGTTTTCTCTTGGTGTTTCTCAGATCAGACAAAGATGTATGTATGTATTACCTGATAATCACATTCATTTCATTGATTACTGTAAGATTTATGGGAGTGATAATATTATATGAAAAAATGTTTAAACTACTGAGTTTCATAGATGAACCAAACTCATTAATTTGTTTGAACCGCACTGAATGTTTTAATTAAATATTTCCACCATTTTATCGTCGACTTCCTGATCCTTTTTCTTCCCCTTAGTGGAGATCTGTGCATGTTTTGTGGCACACACTAAATTGATTTATTGATTCATTGATCCAGTATGTAACTGTGCAGAGTTTGCATCTTCTCGTCAGTGATGCTGAAGTCAAAGGTCAAGCGAAAGGGACACTGAGGCGGCTTCAGGCCTCACTGCAGAAGCTGCTGACAGATGCTCTCACCTTTTCCAGCCTACTTTATGTTACCAAGTTAACTGCCAGAGATCAAAATGGAAGTGTTGCAGCCTAAAACCTAAAACCTTAAACCTTCCTCAGTTCTGTGTCAGTTTAGTACAGGTGGTGACTGACTGAAACGTTTGTCCATCGGGACTTTCCATAGCTGCTGGGTACTGCAAACCCAGCAGCAAAAAACTACTGAATGTGAACCTTTCTGCAAAAAAGGGAAGGTTTTCTGGGGCCCCCGGATGTCGATGAGTTGTCAGCAACTCCAAAGTCCACTTTGAAGTTCACTCCAAGAGCACATTTTGCTAATAATACTTTTGTAGGTTTTAACATTTATTTGTAATGGAGTAGTTTTACATTGCTGTGTTGACACGTTTACTTAAGTAAAAGATCTGGGTACTTCTTCCAGAACTGCATGCGACCTTTAAAAGGGGGTCCTGACCCTGAGCAGCTTGAGAAGCACTTGACGAGGGTTTGTTCATTATACAGTTTTTTTGCATTTTTGCATGTTTCCTTTTCATGCCACTTTCTTCTTCTACTTCGCTACATCTCAGAGGGAAATATTGTGCTTTTTACTTCACTACATTTATCTGACAACTTCAGTTACTAGTTACTTTGCAAATTAATATTGTTACACACCAAACATAAAAGATATAATGTTTTGTTATAAATTAAACATCCCCAACAGTTTGTACAATTAATCAAGTGACTCTTTTGATGGTTGAAGTAATTTTAATGTAAAAATATTCATTGGTTCCAGCTTCTCACATGGGAAGATTTGCTGTTTTTATAATAAGGTTGAGGTTTGGACGATTGGTTGGACACAACAAGCATTGTGAAGGTGTCACTTTGGGCAGTCAATTAATGGAGAAAATAAAAAGCAAATTAAATCCATAATAAAAATAATCTTTAGTTGCAGTCAGATATTTTTACAATAATGCATGAGTAATAATAATCTAATGAAAGAATATATAATAATACAACAGGTACAGGGGACATTTTCCTGATTAAAGTACTATTTTCAACGGAGGACTTTTACTTATAACAGTGTATTTTTACAGTGTGGTATTTTACTGAACTTCAGGATCTGAATACTGTTGCATCCTCATTTCAGTTCTGTTTATATGAGACAGGTGTGAGTTCCTCCTCTCTGCCTCACGGTGTCGCTGTCGGTGCAGTAATGAGCCTCCTCTCCGCCTCTCGGGGCTCTCAGTTTGAGTCTGCGGGCTCCAGCCGGCAGATTGTCCGGTTCAAAAGTTTATTTTCAGCGCTTGACATTGATTGAACCATTAACCCTGCGGCGCCAACACAGCTAATGATTTTCCTGCTTGTTTTTCTGCTGCAGGACAGCAGGGACTCTCTCTCTCTCTCTCTCTCTCTCTCTCTCTCTGACTGCATCTCCGCTCACATTTTCCAGCTTTTTATTTCATAACCTGGGGCCATTTCTGCTTCATGAAGGCATGTTTTCATTCGATTTAGACATTCACAGATAAAGTTTAAAGACTCAAATCAATTTCACAACTTCACCGTAAACCTTGGGTGCTCGTTTAAAAACGAAGTCAGGAACTTTCACCGCTGAATATTTACAGGACAAACTAATCACAACAGAACTGAAATCAGTAGGCTATATAATAAAGATTTCAATGCGAAGATTCAAACAAAAACATGCTGAAGTTGAGCAAATGTATCTGAAGTGAGCCAACTGAGTCTTGTCACTAATAAGTTTGCCTAATTTATTTTCACTACAAAGCATAGGCTAATTGTAATTTAAAAATTACCTCAAATAAATAAGAATACACATAGAGGACTGTAAAGTGTTTAGATTAAATAAAACAAAATACAATTTATACCTCAACATATAAAGAAACTGTAAGAAATAACAATACCAGGAAACATAACTCTTTACAGCTTTAAAGCTTTATGAAAATAACGTGAGTTAGAGCCAAGAAGTCTGTTCTGATTATTAATAAATTAAAGTGTTATATCTTCACTTAAATAACATCTGCCTTCATGTTCTTTATTGTAAAGTTAAGGGGAAATTAAAGGTTTAATTTCAACTTTAATTAGGAGACTGTGAAGCTGGAATCTAACTAGCCTAGGCCTAGTGGGTGTTTTGTATTCTTTTATTTTAACTCCAGTATATAAATAACCATCAGCGTCAGTATCGACGTTATTTTTTTTGTATTCTTTTGCAGTAGTGGACATATTTTTGTCCCTCCGGGCCTCCGTCTGATTCCCGCTTCAACATTCAGCTCACGGCGACAGAAAAGAGAAAGCAGCAGGAGGTCAGAGACAAACCTGTCTGATTTGTGCTTCAGATCAAACCCAGTTAAACCAGTTTAATAACCAGTTTGATTTATCAACACAGCAATAGGCAGATGAGGATTCTTTTTAAGAAGAAAAGGAAATTATAAACTAATTTTTACTTTCAAAACAGATTCGTTTTCTGTTGAGTCAGAATATTTTCTGCAGACTGAAGCTTCAGCTGCTTTCTCCTCTCTTATTTATTTATTTAGTCTTTTTCCAACGTGTTCAGCTTTTGCAGAGGGAGGAAAGGGACTTTTTCTTTCGGTGGCAAGAAATAAAAAGACTCATGCTGTTGTGTGTTTCTTTCTCTCCTTAAATTCTTTAAAACAAATGCTTTTTATAAATTAAGCCTTTCAAAATAAAAAATCCGTTTATTGCCGCATTCAGGACACAAATGTACTTGTTCTGTGAATTTGAGGATTTTAACAACCTGACAATGAAATATTTAGCGCAATTGCACATTATGTGTTTATAAAAGCTGGTTTTGATGTTATTTAGTGTCAGTTGATTTAAATGTGGATGTTTTTAGGCAACAAAATAACTTCAATGTAAAGTTTTTTCCACCGGAATTATCTTTAATTCTTTGAAACACTACAAGGCTTTTACACTCATTTTTACAGAACCATTAATATAATGTGAGTTTTTACTATGAACATTTCACAGGTGTTTGGTCCAGTTGAATTAAATCTGCAGGATAAATTGATATCTCAAAGCCAAAACGAGACTTTAAGCCTACACGCTGAAAATTAAGTCAAGAAGTGTTACTATTTCCTTCTTTACATTTTTATGAGATCGTTTACAATGTTAATTAAGCATAATTTTAGTCTGACGACCTACTTTAACTTACCATTTGCATTCACGACAACGAAACAATTTGGCAGAAATAGGCTACAGTGATTATTGTAGTGAAATAGTGGTTAATATTATTATACAGGAGACACAGGGATTTAATCTGATTATTAGTAACTCTGTACAGTATAATAAAATGACACAATAAGCAGCTTACACACATACCGGAGGAGGAATATTATCAGGTTTTTAATTAAACAGAAGATAACTTTAAAATTGACAGCTTTTATTTACGCTTTTATTTCGCTCCTTTAGCGCTCCTCTACTGACAGTTTGACAAGTTTGTGTCTGATTCACGCCTCCAGGCAGGATATCATTATCTTCTAACATACATTTATATATTTAAATAGGCTACGTTCTTGATAGAAAAGGGTGGAATAAATGACGACATGCAAATCGGTTATGTAGCTGCAGAGTCACCTGTCAAAAGGTGAAATAATCTTTAAGTTTCCCTCGATTATAAGGAGGGGGGGAAAGTTTCTACTGTGAGTCTGTGAATTCTAATTTTGATGTTTGTATCCCTCTAAATCAAATCAAATGAAATCACCGGTCTAGCAAAGATAAAACGTTAAAATAAATCGATTAAGGTGTGAATGATCGCAGGGAGGCTGATCTTTGTGTTGGTGCGGTTCCTGTTTCTACCGCTGGGAGGCGCCCTCTGTCCTCCTCTCAGCCTCCCTCTTCATCTTCTCTCTCTGCTGTTGATCCCTCTGATTTATTTGCTCACAACTTTCCCTCCGAGCCTCAAAGCCAATAATAATAATGCTGAAGCTGTTTACATGCAGCCGGCGTGTGTTCAAACATTCAGACTCAAAGGAAATAAGGTTCTGCAGATTAACACACTCCGGCCTCCAACAATCCTTTCATCCCTGTGCAGGTTTAAGGGAACGCGGGGGTCTATTTGGGTTCTCCTTCCCCAGGTTGTTTCCTGATAAACCACTTTAAATCACCCTTAAGAACAAAAAAAAAAACACCCTTCATGAGAACATGGAGGGGGTTCAAGAAACTCCAAAGAAACCCCATAGGAACCCCTGAACATCACCCAGAACTCATCAAGGAACATAAGGAACGTATTATGAACAATACCCTGTGCAACCCCCTTACAAACCCAGGGAACCCTGCTAGAACCCCCGTAAGAACACCAGGAACTCCTTCATAACCCAACATACCCTCTTAGAAAGCCCTGGAACTTTGTTCACCCCCAAATCCCAGAAGAACCCAGGACTGGGAATAACCAGTAAACCCCTCTGGGACTCTTTAAGAACCCACTTAGCCCCCTTAAGAAATGTTAGAAGAACCCGTTTATGAAGACTATTAAAAACCAAAGGGACGGACTTAAGGACCCGAGGAATGCCTTCAGAGCTGCTGGAACCCTTTAAGAAACCACAGAGCAATCTTCAAACCCTTGGATCATCATTGAGAACCCCCCAAAACTATTTGAGGCCTACTGGAACCCCTTTAAGAATATTTTTTCTCTTTAAAAAAACCTTGGAACATCCTCAAGAGGTCTTGACCCCCTTTACAACCCTTGTTTGCAACCAGTGGAAGCTCCTCAAGAACTCAAGGAACACTTTAAGAGCAGCTAGAAGTGGAAGTGGAACTTCCTTAAGAACCCAAAAAGGGCTGCAGAAACCATTA